CATATTTGTTGGGTGATAGGTTGTTGGTTGGTTCGTTGCCAGTCAGCCAGAGTGAGATCCCTGTTGCTTATTCTTTCTGGCAATCCATCTGAGCTTCAGAAACGAGTGAGCGTAGGTGGCATCTGTTGATGAATATCTGTAGTTTGTTGGAAACGCTTTTCGTGACACGCCAAGTTTGTGAACCATCACAGAGGTGCACTGACTTGACTGATATTGGTGTTGAAAATCTGGATGTTGCTCACGCTTTATGCTGAGTGTAGTACAGAAGATGTCCACACTGGTTTCAGGTTAATGAAGGAAGGCCTGTCTTGCTGTCTTTCCGATGCTGGCTGCTTTGACGTCCTTGTCAGTGCAGCCGTCTGTATTTGCAACTATACTGCCTGTCGCGTATATACGTGAAATAGGCTACTTCCTTTAAGTTTCTCCCGTTCATGATGATGGTGATTGCAGCTTTTTGTTTTGGTTGTTGTTGGTGGTACTGGTTGGGTATCTTCCTCACCTCTGTCTTCTCTACATTCACTTGGAGTACCGTCTTCACTGCCTCGCTTCTCGTATCAACTTGTTAGTTTCTGCCTGTAGATCTTCAAGTTTGTGTGACATTAGACATAAGTCAACGGCGAAATTCAAATCTTCTAGGATCTTTCCCTCGGTCCAGAAGGCTTATCCCCCTCTTCTCGATCCTCACTGCTTGCTGCATGATCCAGTTCATCACAATCAGGAATATCATAGGTGGTAGTAGACAGTTTTGACTTACTCCTATCTTCACTTCAAAGGCATCACTGAGCTTTCCATTGTGAATTATTTGGCATATGACTTCTTCATGTAGTTTTTGAATGAGGCTGATAAAGGTTTGTGGTTTCCGTAGTGTTGAAGCAACTGCCTGGCAAATTACTTTTTGGTCGACGCTGTCAAAAGCTCTTTCAAAGTCGATGAAATTAAGATAGAGAGTTGACTGCCATTCTATGCTTTGTTCTATGATAATGCGTAGTGTCGCGTTGCAATTTGATCCGCACATGATTTGTACTTCCTGAAGCCAACCAGCCTGTTTCGGTCATAGTTTTGAATCCAGCGCATCCTTTAGTCTCACCAGGATAACGTGGCTTATTATACACACTAATAAAATGTTTCCGTCTTCGTATGGAGTAATATTTGTTATTGGGCTAAACACCTGACTGAAACAGAGACGTTTGCTGAGTTATAAAAGTATAGGTGAACTTTAGATGCAACATATCTAACTCTAACCATTGCTATGTAACCATTTATACAGACTATAATGTGAGCTTGCTTGCAGCATAGATCATTCCAGCATAGTTCTTTAAAGACACGGATGGATGCTTAAGGGATCTGCATTCTTGAAAGTTTTGTAGGATCTAGTTATTCACAACTCATATTTTACAGCCTGTTTACACTTCACAACTTAACGTTAATGCCTCTGGTGATTATGCTTCTTAGTTTTGAATGTCAGGAATCACCTGTGATCAAGTACCTATATCTAAAGGTCATATTTCACACAATATAATGTATAGGTTAATGTTGTTATATTGCAGAACCGATGCTCATTATGTAAGAACACAATCTGCGGATTTCATTGTAGTCTGCTTTAGATTATATAGTTACCATGACGATAAATGTCAGTCACCAAAAAACTAATTCTACTATCTCCTACCAATAATCTCCAAACAACTGGTATCACTTACCATAGCAATGTTTCAGGAATTAGTTTAAAGTCTGCATGGCATTAACTTATGAATTTCTATCACCACTGTGTTCTAATGAAATTATTCAGCGTTATGCTACTTTCCTACTCGATGCTGAAGATAAGATGGCCAGAAAGAATAAGCAACAAGGAACTCACTGTGGCTGGCTGGTTGGCAACGAACCAACCAGGAACCTATCACCCAACAAATATACAGAAGAAAATGGAGATGGATTGGGCATACACTGAGAAAACCATTCGGAGACATCCTGCGCCAGGGCATTAAGTGGAATCCAAATGGGAAACGCCGAGTTGGGCTTCCGAGGTGAGGGTGACATGGAGAAAATCATGTGAGGAAGAAATGAAAGCTTGTGGGGATTGGTGGAGTGACGTTGAAAAGACTGGAGAGAACAGAGTAGAATAGAGGCGGGCTAGTGAAGCCGCATGTTCCACTAGGAACCCAATGGACAAATAATCAATGGTAGAAAAGCTGCTTTTCTAAGCATGAAAACTGTAAAATCTTAATCAAATGGTTGGTACTCATGTTTAGATGTAGTTATGAAATCTAAAATATGCTAGTCAATACGTGAACCGATGGATATTGATAATTTACAATGGTACAATAATTATCTCATGTAAACAGGAGAGATTATTTGGTGTATAATATTTGTTAAGATTGAGAAATCTTTCCAGCTACCTATTGTTCTTCATGAAAATGGTATTACCGCCTAAATTTCTTTTTGTTTCATCAAAATTAATCCACCTTAACATTCCTCCTTCTTGATGAAAATGCCTTTTCAAGTTTCTTTAAACCTATTTCAATTCCTCAGTTTATCAGAAGCTTATTTAATTCTGTAAATCTAGTTTTTTCATGATTCGATGAAAATAGTCTTCATTAGATGAATAGGCTTGTTATCAATGAATGTTTATATTATCTACATCTGCCTGATTCGACCATATCTTTTCAGTTACTATAACAATTACTGATTAATTAGTCCCTTTCAATACATTTCGAGTAATCTGATCACACATTAACTTGTCAAGACATCTTATATAAAAGGCGGAAACAGGAAGGGGGGGGGCTAAAACAAATAAATTAGGAGATGACGCGAGATTCGAAATATATGGGGATAATAAGGTGGAATAGTAATACATTTCCACAACTCTCTTCACATTAAAATGAGATAAAGATTACCAAGGTAGGTTTAAGGTAAAGACAAAGTATTTTTGAATATATAAAAGGGGGTTTTAACTTTCATATGTCTAAGTCTTCGATGAACATAAGTATACGGTTTTGACTGCTCCTGTACAGTTAGTGGTCTAAAGACTGTTTTCGGGTCAATTCTGTTTTTACCTATAGACAATGACGTCTATCTGCCTCTGTATTCATTGGATTATCTGAATGTAATTGTTTTTTGTAACTACCTAGGGATATGCTCCACTATCCTTGACTTCATAGTTCCATTATTACCCTCAATGTATGTCATCGTATACAGACATAAAGTGCTATAATACTGAACTTGGCTGTGTGATATATCTTTTTAATAACTGATCATACTGTTTGATTCCCCCTTGTATGGTAGTGTGACGTAAACATCCTTCTTCGGGACAGAATACTGATTAGTTTGCACCATTGAGACATTTTTATAACTATTGGTGAACTTCAAGGGTTATGCGTTTTCCATGAATGTTTCTGTTGAAAATTTGAAATCTTCTCCTTTTGTGTTGTGCAATTAACTGTGTCGGGGTTCTTTTGAATCAGTATTTCACTAAGTCTCGTTTGTACTGTATTGAACAGAAATTATGAAAGTTAAGTTACTGTCTAGTTCACGTAGGTCACAGGATTGACTCCAAAACAACCTTTAGACCACTAACTGTACAGGAGCAGTCAAAACCGTATACTTACGTTCATCGAAGACTTAGACATATGAAAGTTAAAACCCCATTTTATGTATTCAAAAATACTTTGCCTTTGCCTTAAACCTACCTTGGTAATCTTTATCTCATTTTAATGTGAAGAGAGTTGTGGAAATGTATTACTATTCCACCTTATTGTACGCATTACAGGAGGCAAAGACGATGATATCAAAATCAGGATAGGAAATAAAGCAAGACAGGCTTTCAATAATCTGAAATCAATGTAGAGACCTACTGAACTACACTCAGCATAAAGCATGAACAAGATCCAGATTTTCAACACCAATATCAGTCAAGTCAGTGCTTCTATGTGATGGTTGAGAGACTTGGCATGTCACGAAGAGCATTTCCAACAAACTACAGAAATTCATCAACAGATGCCACCTACGCTCACTGGATACCAGCACTAAAGATCAGATGGATGGCCAGAATAGTAAGAATAAGCAACAAGGAACTCACTGTGGCAACGAACCAACCAACAACCTATCACCCAACAAATATGCAGAGGGAAGTGGAGATGGATTGGATTGGATTGGGCATACACTGAGAAGGCTGATTGGGGACATCACGTGACAGGCCAGTCAGGCACTCGAGTGGAATCCGAATGAAAAACGACGAGTTGGGTGTGTGAAGTGAGAGTGACATGGAGGAGATGGTGTGAGGAAGAAATGAGAGTTTGTGGATATTGGTGGAGGTAGGTTGAAAAGATTGTAGAGAAGAGAGTGTAATGGAGACATGCTAGTGAATCCGTATGTTCGACTAGGAACCCAAGGGGAAAGAAATAAAAATCCCCATATTTTGCAAGTTAATTACTTTTTCCCCCACGATATTTCCACACTTTGCATTAAATGCCTTGACAAGTTAGTGTGTGATCAGATTGTTCGATATGTATTGTGAGAATACATCCCATTTTTGAGATGATCTCCGTCTTCTCATTACATTATGCAAATTGCTGATCAATCCGGTTTCAGAGCTTCAGATGTACTATAATAAATTGGTTAATTTTAACCGTATTTTTATTAAAAAAAATATTTATTCATTGAAAAATATTCTACAATAAGAAAATAATTTTTTCCACTTAATGTGACCTCACAAATAGTTACATACTTACCGGTGTTCGTTTGTCAATCGATTTTCATTGATGTCTTACCTTCTACACACCGGTATCTATGGTTGGATCCCATAGGTATATGATTGGTGAACCAACCGGCCGGCCGGCCGGTTCATATTTATGACTGACCAATAGAAGAGATCAATATACTGTATATCAGATTATGCCAAGGAATAACCAGTTAAAATTCTAAGAATTTTATACACTTTTTTTCAAAATCTTTTAATAGACCAACAGAAGAGCTCAAGTACAACATGTTACGCCTCCGATATCAGAGATTTTTACAAACTATTCCCCTATACTTTCATTGTAATTTCAACCAATTTTGATTAATACATGCAAGCCTGGTGGTTAAATGCTCAGTGCCAATAAACAGACAGGCATGCAGTAGGCACAGAATAAATGTATCCTATGTGTAGTGTGACATATAGTGGTATATTATTGGAGTTCGCTTTACACATACAAACAAGTTAGGGGAGGAGGAGGAGGTGGGGGGGACACCAATTGCACAAAAACACACGATATGTCAGTTGTATACATGTCTATTTATCCTATAAAAATGAAGAGGAATCTTTAACGATACACCGACTATGTGTGTCAGTGTTAGTAATGCCGGTAATAGAAAACTGCCTTCAGAGAAAGGTTATCACGTTGAACAAGCTTAAATTTCATTAGAACAACTTTTAATCGATCCATAGTATACAACAGAAGAAAAAAAAGATAAACGTATATTACAGAAAAAAACAAGAGAAAGAAAAAAGGAAGAAAATCTAATCCCTTTCAATCTGAAAAGAATAAATTCAAGTGAAATTTGAATAAGGAATTCATTTTTCCTGTTATCATCATCTTACCTTGGATACGAAATAAATATCCTCTTAAATTTTATTACATGACAGACAGATTATGAAACCTCATGAAGTCTATTCGTTTACAAATAAATATTTCACCTATGGATTTATTCTCATACATATATTCATATTATGCAATATTTGTATAATACAAACGAATGGTGCAGCGGTAAGTAGTCTAGAGTCTTCGCATCTAGCCTCTTTAATGATATTGTACTGGTACATATATATATATATTTTTTTCCCCAAGTAACTGAACTGTTTAAAGCAATATTACTCAATAGAATATGGCATTTTGTTGAAGAGGTAGACTTAGACAAAATCAACATTTTCCTGGCAATCTATAGTTGTAGATATTCAATCAATCGATCAATATCAACATAGGACCAGGCATTACTGTGTAACGGTCCAACTTACCACACCTCATCTCATATCAGTACATCAAGCAGAAACGTAGTGAGGTGAAGGATGAAGATAAGAGAATGAAGTCAAAAGAAATATAAAGTATGAGAGGAAAGAAAGGAGGAATGATAAAATGGTGAGATTCGATATAGCGTCGTTAAGATAAGGATAATGTATGTATACATCTGCACCACTGACATCGGTTCTCAGTCATGTCACCTAGAGTCAGTCTCCAACCACTGGTTCCTCTTGTCTCGCGAACCTCAACCACCTAGTGTGAATCGTCCCACATGGCTCAAACCAACAGTCAGAGACTTCATACATTGGTGCCATGTTTTAGTCTGGCCACCTTGGGCCTTTTTTCAGCGTGCACCCACTTCAGCCAACATTGTGTGACGAGGTAATCGGTGACTAGGCATATGTAGTATGTGTCCCAACCATCTCAATCAATGAAGGTTCATAACCTCGTCAACTGATTTACCTCTACTCCTGACTTCGGCATTACTCACATAGTGACACCACGGAATACGGCCTATACTACGAAGGTAACGGTGGTCAAACACCTGAAGCTTTCTTGTATCTTCCACTTTCAATGGCCATGTTTCACAGCCATACAGTAGAACAGAGCGGATTGCTGTGTATTACACGTGACCCTTAATAGACAAATGGATATCATGGTGGTGCCATAGGTAGCTTAAGTTGGCAAAAGCCATTCGAGCTTTTTGTATCCGTGCAGAGATTTCATTGGCAAGTAACCCACTAGGGTTTATCCTACTTCCCAGGTAAGTGAAGTGGTTAACACACTCGACTGGTTACTGAACGTTGCCTTAAGGCGGTTGATTTGAAACTCTTTGTGACAAAAGGTTTACTTTCCCTTCGCCCTGAATTAATGATTATTTTCATGAAAAATCTTATCATCATCTATGTATTGGCTACGTTTATCAATTTATTCATCAAAACTGCCTTAGGTTGACAGAAAATTATAGTTTATACTTACGAATAACTTCTTGATTATGTTTTTGCCAATGAATTTTCATAATGTAAAGAATACATAAGATCGATAATTATTTACAGGATTGTATTTATTTCTCAATTTCTTTCTTTTTGTAATAATAGACATGTATACCTTCACCAAACTGCACAGAATGCACTTGTATGGGAATTCCTGGACCAAAGGTAATTTGATAGTGTTTCTTTTTTCGTTAGTTTTTTTTAAAGTTATCAGTACTATTATTGATTTTATGGGATTGTAATCATCATTTTCTGATATTCCCGTTTACTATGAGAAAATATTGAATAATATAAAATAGTAAATGTTGGGCACTGTGGTCGAGTGTAATTCCATTCTAATCTGTTTATTAGAAATATCACATAGTGAAGGAACAGTAGCATTTACTGGATAACATTTCGGACACAATTTATTGTCCATATTCATATCAAGGATCATTTCAATTGCATGTATTTGGTATTGATTCGATAAACGCAGATTCGGTTATCAATCTCTCCCTCCTTCCACTCAATTTAGTTAGTTTGCAACACTGTTGCCCTATCCCACCCTACTGTGTGATTATGTGTCATCGCATGTAGAAAAGGAGAGGAAATTAGGAATATATAAAGTCTGTCTCGAAGTTGTTGTGGAGTTACCTGATATGAATATCGACAATCAATTGTGTCCGAAATGTTATCCAGTAAATGCTACTGTTCCCTCATTGTATGATATTTCTAATAAACAGACTAAGGTGGAAAACGTTGAATAGATATATTAAGGATTAAGAAGCTATGTAGTTGTGAATCAGTCATTTATTTTCATATTTCAATAAATTATTCAATTAAGGAGAGTTAGAATCAAAAGATTTTCTAATGTAGAACTTTTTTTGCAAATAATTGATGAAAACTGGCATAATTTATCAACCAGGTTCAAATTCGTTAGTTTGCTAGCGTTGATCATAATCAGATGTAACTGAAACAAGCCACTGAAATCCATTAACCTTCACCATGAACAAAAGTGTTGAGTGACTCGATCCTAAATGAAGCTGAATAAAATAAAGACATGAAATTAGGAAATCAGTAGTGGGGCTTGATTCACTGACGAAAAGTACTGAAAGTACAAACCCATAATCAGGGATTAGTATGTATTTTCCCTTGGGTTCCTAGTGGAACATAGGGTTTCACTAGCACGCCTCCATTCCACTCTCTTCTCTGCAAACTTTTGAACCTGGCTACACGACAGCCCAGAAGCTTTCATTCCTTTGTCACATGATCTCCCCCCTGTCACCTTCAGCTGGGACACCCAACTAGTCGCTTCCCCTCTGGGTTCCACTGGAGTGCCTAGCTGGCCTGTCACGTGATGTCCCCAATCGGCCTCCTTAATACATGGTCAATCTATAATTAATCTTATACGTTTAGCTCATGTCTTTACATAAAAATTTCCCTGGGATCCAACTTCACTCTTTGATAAAACATGCAGAAGCCTACTGGTAGACTGGAACTAAAAACAATCTACGTTGTCTAATAAATGGGGTCAAATGACCCATATGATTGTAATAGACGGCGTTATTCTACAATATGAGCTCTAACCACAGGGAAATAACGAAAATCTTTGGTGGGAAAACTTGTTTCACCAAGTACACACACACACACACACAAACAGAGTAGTGCTCAATACTTTAAACTGTCTGTATCATCTGGGACAATAATTAAGTAGCAAACCTTGTAATTGGTTTTCACTAAATTACTACTTAGTGTTTCATTGTTGCCCTCGTCAATTGAATTAAGGTTACGGGGTTTAAGTAGATTGAAAATAGAACGCCTAAAACAAAACAAAGTAGCAAACTTGATAATATTATTACTATAATATGAATATTATGGATGATATTGTGTTATCCAACGTGTAATTTCATTGATTCGGTCCAATTGTCTCTTTTGTTATAAACATTAGAGTACTGACATAACATCTTACATTTTCTCGCATATAGCGTATTGTAAATAGCACGTTTCACTTGATGTTAAATTATCTTGAGGGAGTTGTAGGGATTTAGAAATATTTCAAGTTGTTATTCATCGTAGAGTGACATCAATTGGAGGAAGGAAGGAAGCCTGAGAGCACTAGACAGCTGTTTCGTCCTAGGATGGAACTCTTCAGCAGTGCGCACCTTTGACCTTCAGGTTCCATGGCCAACACGTTACCACCGAGCCACTGGGGCAGAACCTAGTGGTCCATATTTCCAACTTCTGTTAAACTATCTAACCAATTGATTTAACCTAAACAGATCGATTTCATTCTAACTTATCAACTAAACACTTTAAAAGAGGATACTAAGACTACTCAGTCACTATTCAAAAGTTTAAGAGTTACTATCTATCATACTATACTACTACTACTATACTACTACTGAAGTGAAGACAGGAGTGAAACAAGGTTGCCTACTAACCCCCATGATATTCCTTATTGTGGTGGACTGGATCATGCAGCAAATAGTAGGCAGCGAGAAGAGGGGGATACGCTGGACGGCGGAAAAGAACCTAGAAGACTTGGATTTCGCCGATGACTTGTGCCTAATGTCTCATAAACTTGAAGATCTGCAGGCCAAAACTAACAAGTTGATAGAAGAGGCAGCGAAGACGGGACTTCAGGTGAATATAGAGAAGACAGAGGTGATGAAGATACCGCACCACCACCATCAACAACAACAACAAACTCCAATCACCGTCAACGGGAGAAACTTAAAGGAAGTAACCTCCTTCATCTATCTGCCTAGGTATCACTGTTTCAACTACAGGCGGGACGGACGAGGACGTCAAAGTCAGAATCGGAAAAGCAAGACAGGTGTTCATTAGCCTGAAACCAGTGTGGAGATCTTCTGCACTCAGCATTTGGAACAAGATACGGATTTTCAACACCAACGTCAAGTTGGTGCTTCTGTGTGGTGGATGAGAGACTTGGCGCGTCACGAAAGGGATTTCCAATAAACTACAGACATTCATCAACAACTTCCACTTACGCTCGCTACTGAAGCTCAGATGGATTGCCAGAAAGAATAAGCAACAAGGAACTCTGGGAACCAACCAACCAAGAACCTATCACGCAACAAATATGCAGGAGGAAGTAGAGATGGATTGGCCATGCACTGAGAAGGCCGACTGGGGACATCACGCGTCAGGCCAGTTGTTCGAGTGAAACCCCCATGGGAAGCGATGAGTTGGGCGTCCGAGGTGAGGGTGACATGGAGGAGGTCGTGCGAGGAGGAAATGAGAGGTTGTGGGCTGTCGTGGGACCAGGTTGAAAAGATCTCAGAGAACAGAGTTCACTGGAGACGTGCTACTGAAGCCCTATGTTCCACTAGGAACCCAAGGGACTAATAATAATAATAATAATAATAATACTATACTATACTATACTACACTATACTATCTTCGCTGAATTATCTCTTTTGTACTTAATGAAGATTCTGAAGCTGGGCAACACCAAAGTTATTCAATGTTTAATCAATGTCAAGTTAACATTTCTATTTGAAATATCACAAGATAAATGACTGAAAATATTCTTCCCCACTATAACTAACCGAAATTATTAAAAATGTCAAGATAAAAACAATTTGTCAATTGATTATTATTATTATTATTATTATTATTATTATTATTATTATGATTGTCTTTTATGGTATACAAAAGTCACCAAAAGGTATATAGGGCTTATCATTGATCAGTTTGTTCACTTATTTATTATTATTTAACATGAATATCAAGTTTATAATGTAATAATCATAATAACTATAGAAGTTATTATCATTATTATTATTATGATTGTTACAAGAAGTCTGACGCCATAACAGTTGGGATTCAAAAGATACATGGGATCTACTGGTAAGATAGATTATTTATTGAATAAAGTATACAAGTTTATATTAGTAGTAATCATAAAGATGATAAGTGTTATACCTGACTAGACATATAAAGAAATACAATTCATTTCATCTTTGTTTATCAGACATTAGATTGTATCTGCATATATATTCATTCCCCTAGGTGGGTGTATCATTACCTTTAAGATTTCTATCTATTTCAAAATCGAGACATTCATTTCTACTTGTTTATGATCTGTATATTTTTTCATTTTCAATTTACTCTTATAATAATTGACGTTACTTTGAGAAACTCGAAAGATCTATAGGTGAAAACTAACAAGTTGACAGAAGAGGCAGGGCAGCAAAAACGGGACTTCAAGTGAGTGTAAAGAAGACGGAGATGAAGATATTCAACCAACAACATCGTCAACAGTAAACACCAATCACCATCAACGGGAGAAACTTAAAGGAAGTAGCCTTTTTCACCCATCTAGGCGGCAGGCAGCATCGTTTCAACTACAGACGGTGACACAGACGAGAATGTCAAAGCAGACAGGATTGGAAAGACATCAAGATAGGCTTTCAATAATCTGAAATCTCCGTGGAGATCTACTGCATTCAGCACAAGGAACAAGATTCAGATTTTCAACACCAATATCAGTCAAGTCAGTGCTTCTATGTGATGGTTGAGAGACTTGGCATGTCACGAAGAGCATTTCCAACATACTACAGAAATTCATCAACAGATGCCACCTACGCTCACTGGATACCAGCACTAAAGATCAGATGGATGGCCAGAATAATAAGAATAAGCAACAAGGAACTCACTGTGGCAACGAACCAACCAAGAACTTATCACCCAATAGATGTACAGAAGAAAGTGTAGATGGATTGAATTGGGCATACACTGAGAAGACCATTCAGGAAAATCACGTACCAGGCCAGCCAGGCAATCGAGTGGAACTCAGATGGGAAACACCGATTTGGCCGTCCCAGGTGAGGGTGATATGGAGGAGATGATATGAGGAAGAAATGAAAGCTTGTGGTCAGTAGTAGAGCGAAGTTCAAAAAACTGCAGATAATAGAGGCGTGCTACTGAAGCTGTCTATTTCACTAGGAAACCAAGGGAAGAATAATAGTAATAATAGAATACAATTATTTAGCTAATAATTCATATTTATTTGTTTGTCTCTTTTTAAGGGTGATCTTGGAGCCCGAGGGCATGTTGGTAGACCAGGTGCAGTTGGATCACGTGGATTACCTGGTCTACCAGGTCCAGAAGGTGAACGTGGTATACCTGGTATACCAGGTGATCCTGGTCCCAAAGGAATAATGGTAAGTTCAGTATTATCTCATTTTGGTTGTATTGTGTTCTCTGAGCTGGGCTGAGCTACAAATATTCTCCATCATTATCTCATTTTCTATAAAAGAAATAATATGAATTATATGATAACAATTACACATCTTACATAAATAATAGGTCTCTGTATACTTTATACATCATCAAGTCACTGGAATGGTTAGTACTATTCCATATTTCGTGTAAAATTTAGTATTTCTAAAGCATATTTTAACACCAACGTCAAGTCAGTGCTACTATATGGTTCAGAGACTTGGCGCGTTATGAAAGGGATTTCCAATAAACTACAGACATTCATCAACAACTGCCAATTACGCTGGCTCGCTACTGAAGATCAGATGGATTGCCAGAAAGAATAAGCAACAAGGAACTCTGGGAACCAACCAACCAAGAACCTATCACCCAACAAATATGCAGTTGAAGGAAGTGGAGATGGATTGGGCATACACTGAGAAGGCCGACTGAGGACATCACGCGTCAGGCCAGTTGCTCAAGTGGAATCCCCATGGGAAGCGACGAGTTGGGCGTCGGTGCCGAGGGTGATATGGAGAAGATCGTGCGAGGAGGAAATGAGAGCTTGTAGGCTGTCATGGAGCCAGGTTGAGAAGATTTCAGAGAACAGAGTGAAATGGAGACGTGCTAGTGAAGCCTTATGTTCCATTAGGAACCCAAGGGACTTATAATAAAAATAATAATAATAAAGCGTATTTTGTTTATCTTCTTCCCTGTATTATTATTATTATCATTATCATTACTAAACTCTATGACTATCTTATTCAGATTTATTGCTACATTGATGTTTCTATGTCTGGTGCTTTAGTGAATCATCTTCCAGTTGATTGGTTGACTATTTCTATTGGATAATAACTTGGCCTTTTATCTTAATGAATTCAATGTATCCATAATCTTTTCAAAAAGTGGATATACATCTGAGTAATCTACTGACTATATATAGGAGTAAAGTAGTATAGACAATCATATACATAGATATGTTGAAATAGTGTGACTAACCCAAGATGATGTATATCTAATATTATGCAGTATTTGTGTTGTTTAACTAATCCTTCTACCTTTCAGTTTCCTTTTTTTCACTAAAACAAAAATACACTTTTAAACTTTAATATTCTGATTTCTAATTATTCGCCTACACAAAATTATTGTTTTTTCTCTTGTCTAATAATATAAAATATCCAGTGTACTGAATATACATTGTTTATGACAAGTTTCTGATGAGTTTCTCGATTCATATATAATGTCAGTTAAGTATATTGACTAACACTATCACCATATAACTTGTGTCTTTAAAGATTGGCCTAATAACTATTGAAATGTTCAAACATGTTTATGTATTTTATGAGAAAAATTACTTTTCTAACGAAATTCAGAGACCTGATTACTTATTTCAGTAGTTCTTAAGAGTAACTCACTTATAACGAAAGGTGTAATGCAAACAAGTGAACATACCCTCTGTTGAATTAACCTTGTAAATCAGTATTACTTTATACTATAAGGTGAATAATCATATTGTTTATATGATTTCAACTGTAACGATGAAATTGTTATTATGTTAATGCTCAGTTGTGGGCTAGCAGTGGAATCCAGGATGAACATTTCGTTCCATTTGGGAATCACCAGTCAGCTGGATGTAACTGCTTCCCAGTGGGTGATGTTATTCCCATCGGGATTCGGACTCGTGAGGGATCGCTTCAAACGCCAGCTCGCGTTATCCACTTCTTGTGCGACAGGTATAGTTTTTAGTATATGTAGTTGTTTTTATATCATACCGTCTTTGCTTGGACAGAATTGATCGGTTTCTACTGGCAGATGGGCTCCTGTGCTGATGCCTTGATATTGCCTGCGTTCTAATTATGTTAATGATGGATCGTGGCTAACTGTTAGTTAGTTAGTTGGGACAGATAACATGAAATTCTTTTTGAAGAGAGTTTTGATTCTAACTTCACCCAACATTCTTCAAGAAATACTATTACTTAATATTTTTTACCTACCATTTTGATTGCAGGGTGATAAAGGTGTAATGGGTGTTCCAGGAGTAGATGGTCTTAAGGTAAGCCAAATACTGAAAAATGTTTAATCTATGTTTTAAAGAAAAATGTGTTCTACAGTCATTTTATGGTTTTCCAAACCTTTTCATTACTTAGTTGATGACATTCATATCATACTTAAGATATTGTCAGTAGTTCAAAACATCAGTAAATTGCTGTAGGACACTTTATCCGTATGCATTATTAACTATCGAAATTTCCTCTACCAAGCACAAAAACAATTTGAAGTTAACTGTATTACATAATATAAATGCATTTCGAATAAATGAATATATATCTGAGATTAGATGAGCAGAAAATAAAAGCATAAACATACTACTGGATACCCAGAGATCGCTGGCTCAAATCCTGTTGCAGGACAGATTTTCATCTAATCTTCAATTATCTCCCACTATCAGTGCAAGTCTACCAAACTATGGCTATATCAGATAGTCAGACTCACACTTGATAGTTGATGATTTAGAACCAGTCAGAGTTAGGAACTATTTAGATTAGATGTTCAAGAATAAAACAGTTAATATTTTTCTCTCTCCTTTAGATAAACAAGTTGAACAATGTTCCAATATACTTTCACAGACTTCACGCTGTGTACGGAGAATGTACGTTGCGCCACAGTAACAAGTAAACGGGGAAACTATCATAAAGGAGTTTCCTAGAGGTCCCATAAAAGCTCTTAGATAAGGTTTCCTTATGCGTCATATCCCCTTTATGTTATACCTAGTCTTAAACTACTATAACATAGTCAGTAGTATAAAATAATAGCAAAAATTAGTTTGCTTCTACAAATCAACCGTCGGTATTCGCGTGCTTCAAGTAGGAGAAATGCAAAATGGGTTCGGTAAAGAGAAATATACTGAATATCTATAGCTATTATACCCAGTCAAGTGCACGAAACAGCCGAACTCCGAAATTTTAAATAGGTTATATGTACAAGCAATAACACTAAAGGTTATATGTATATTAAGAAGCAAATGAGTTAGGCCTTATGTTATCCCTTGTGATTTTCCAACATTTCTCCTAAACTCATTTGGGATTTGTACTATGAATTGACATTACTATCAAATACTACATAATGATTGTGAGGTAAAGTATATAGGTCAAAGTTGAACAAAGTGCATAGGTCAAAGCAGCCTATCTGGGTTAGTCAGGATAGCAGAGCTAAACATTAAACAAAACACACAATGGTGGACTGTACTAAGACGAGTAATTTAAAGAAAAACTCGGGCTACGCTCTGGGGGACAGGGGTGGGGGGTGAATACGCTTCATTTATATACTTGTCATCACCCTCATAATAAACTTATACCTTTCATTAACGGATTTTTAAAAGTTAGCTAGGTAACGATGAATTATGAATGTGCAAAAATAATGACTTCATTATTGATCACATTTTATGTTTTTATGAAAGTAATTACAATTAGAAACCTACTTTTTCTTTAGTTGAAATGAATTTTTTTTTCATTTTAATAGGGTGCACTTGGTATTAAAGGTCCGAAAGGTTTTCCAGGTGAAGAAGGATGTTGTGGAGCAAAGGTATGTTTTTCTTTCCATTTGTTTTGTTTAAATTCTTAACTTCATCTCGCAGTTTAGTTAGCAGAAAATTTAGAGATCTCTGATTCGAGTCTTGAAGCACTCTGGGTTTTTATTTCAACTTCATTCATTATCCTACTTTAAGAATATTTAAAAGTTGAATACTAACAACATTCATGTGTTCAATCACACTAATATCTGGTTAGGTTACAATATGACCACGTCATTTTGATATAATTTAATACCGTCTAACGGTTGAATACTGTTGTTAGCTTCACCGTACAACTTCGAATATCGATATAAATGTGTATTATTATTTGTCCCTTAGGTTCTGAATTGAACATAAGGCTTCAGAAGCAAGTCTCCATTACACTCTCTTCTCTGCAAACTTTTGAACTTGGCTCCACCACTGCCCACAAGCTCTCATTTATTCCTCAAACCATCTCCTCCATATCATTCTCACCTCGCACGCCCAACTCGTCGTTTCCCATCTGGGTTCCACTCAAGTACCTGGCTGGCCTGTCGCGTGATGTCCCCGAATGGTCTTCTTAGTGCATGTCTAATCCATCTTCACTCCTGAATATTTTTGAGTGATAGGTTGTTGGTTGGTTCGTTATCAGACCAGCCACAGTGAGTTCCTCCTTGCTTATTCTTATAATTCTGGCAATCCATCTGAGCTTCAGTATCGAGCCAGCATAGGAAGTTGTTGATGAAAATCTATAGTTTGTTGAAAATGCCTTTCGTAACGCGCCGTAAAGTCTCTCAACCATCACAGAGGTGCACTGTCTTGACTGACATTAGTGTCGAAAATCCGGATATTGTTCCACATGCTGAGTGCAGATCTCCACACTGGTTTCAGGATGATGAAAGCCTGTCTTGCTTTTCCGATTCTGACTTTGACATCCTCATCTGTGCCGCCTGTAGTTGAAACAGTGCTGCCTAGGTGGTGGGTGAAGGAGGCAACTTCCTTTAAGTTTCTCACACTGATAGTGATTGAAGCTTGTTTTTGTTGCTGTTGGTTGAGGATCTTCATCACCTCCGTCTTCTCCACATTCACTTGAAGTCCCGTCTTCGCTTCCTCGCCTCTCCTATCCACTTGTTATTTTTCGGCTGTACATCTTCGAGTTTGCGTGACAAGATATTAGACACAATCATCAGCGTCGAAATCCAAAGCTTCTATGATCTTTTCCCCGGTCGAGTCAGCTTATGCCCCCATTCTCGCTCCTCACTGCTTATTGAATGATCCAGTTCAGTTGACCACAATTAGGAAGATTGTGGGTGATAGAAGACAGCCTTGTTTTACTCCTGTCTTCATTTCAAAGGCATCACTGAGCTTTCCATTGTGAATTACTTGGCATATGGCATCTTCTTATAGTTGTTGAATGATGTTGTTAAATGGTTGTGGTATTTCGTAGTGTTGAAGCAACTGCCTGACAAACTACTTTTCGGTCGACGCTGTCAAAGGCCTTTTCATAGTTGATGAAGTTGAGTTGACTACCATCCTATGCTTTGTTCTATTATGATGCGTAGTATTGTAATTTGGTCCGCTCATAATTTGTACTTCCCGAAGCCAACCAGCCTGTTTCTGTCATAGTTTTGAATCCAGCGCATCTTTTAGTCTCTCCAGGATGAGTGTTTATCAAAAGACTTGTAGTTGTTTTCAGATGATTAAACTGTCTCAAGAGCTTTTTTCTAGTTTGCATAACTGGATCTTTGAACATAATAACTGTTAATCGATGATCTCTACACTTCTTCGATTTTCTTTAACCTAATGATTGATCAGGGCAAAATGGTAATAGTTTATCATTAGACAATATAGACAATGAAAGAAATTGAATTATTGATTTTTTAGGAAGAGAAAATAAAGTTTATTTGTAATAGTAAGTGAATGAAAATGGTTTATTTAAGTGATAAAGAAAAAAGGGATTGAATATTCTCCTTCATTGAAAATGGGAATCTCTGCTTCCTAAATTGATTGGGAATAGGCCTAACTTATTGTTAACCAGTAAATACTAACAAATACGACATTGACTGAAATAGGGTCGGAGTAGAAAACGCCATAGATAATCAGGTCATAATATAAAGGTAATCTAGGAAGATTTTGACTATTTTACTTCACTTTGGATATATCAGCTGCAAAAATTCCTCTTAGTTTTTAAACAATTTTTCAACTGAATTCATGCAGTAACCTTTTGTTGATGTACTTGTAGTTTTCCGTTGTTATACGGGGTCGAATTATTCAACTTTTGTCGATATACAGGCTCCTTTAGCGAATGCCTTGATACTGTCTGAATATTTACAATAGTAATTTACTTAGTTGTGGCTAGCAGGAAAACCCAGGACGGGTGTCTCATCCTATTTGAGACTAGTTAACTGGATGTACTTGTATCCCAGTGAGTGTTGCTCCTACTGAGACTAAAACCTCGCCGTAGAGCTACACACTAGGTCAATGAGGTATGATAGCCATCTCTTGTACAATGGATAGTAGTAGTTATAACATTTTGTTTATGTATTTATAATTTTTCGTTGTTTTGCTGAATCGAATTGTTCGGCTTCTGTTGTACCTCAGTGGCTTTTGAAGCGAAAGGTACCATTATCAGTGGAAATAGCATCACTCACTTGGATGCAGGTGCATTCATCCCATTAGTCATATTGGGAATTCAATGTAGACTGTTTTTGCTTGCATAAACTAATGACTACAGAGGTATGCATAGATCGACTTCATGTAAATTCGTTTACCCTAACTGTAGATCAGTGTGTTCATAAAATCTCTGATGTTATTTTGCTTAAGTGTTGATAACTTTTGAAAAATGGTTTTGTTGTAGATAATAAACCTTTGAGTTGACAAAAGAATCTATAGTCTTCTACTATTATTCAACAGGAATGGTGTTTGCCTTCAAATATCTTTTAGCAGCGTTTTAAAATTAGTCAACAGTGTGGATTTGTTTGTTTAGACTAACTGACTGTACTAGAAACAGCTTCAGAGATGAGTACTTTAAGGTGTAGTTTGGAAGATGACGTCTTCTTTTTAGTTTATCGGTAAATGTATCTTATTCCACAAGCTTTTTTCAACTAATAAAGGTGTATATATCAATCAGTCAATCAATATCAACATAGGACCAGGCATTATTGCGTAACGGTCCAACTTACCACACCTCATCTCATATCAGTACATCAAGCAGAACGTAGTGAGGTGAAGGATGAAGATAAGAGAATGAAGTCAAAAGAAATATAAAGTATGAGAGGAAAGAAAGGAGGAATGATAAAATGGTGAGATTCGAAATAGTGTCGTTAAGATGAGGATAATGTATGTATACATCTGCTCCACTGATATCGGTTCTCAGTTATGTCACTTAGAGTCAGTCTCCAACCACTGGTTCCTCTTGTCTCGCGGACCCCAACCACCTAGTGTGAATCGTCGCACATGGCTCAAACCAACACTCACAGACTTCATACATTGAAAGGTGTATATATTCGAGAAAATAATTTTGTTTTACAAAGATTTAACTATATCATACTTATTTAATACACATACTAAGCATCAATAAGCAATAATGAAGTTTCGGATAAGTTACTTTTCTAATTTTTTGAATTTCATTGAAACAGGGACCTAAGGGCCTTAAAGGTTCACAAGGTAGTTATGGATATGATGGTCTTCCTGGTGAACGTGGTTTAAGAGGTCCGAAGGTGAGTATTTTTCTAAAAGGAGTTCTTTTCTTAAAATATACATACATAAATATCGAAAGGATGAATAGTTAACAGTAGCTAGTCAGAACCGTAACTGTTGGTTGGATACTATTGATACTATTGAAATTAAGAGATAGAGTTAGAAGCCTATTTTTAGCTGTTGGTCAGTGCAGAAAAGTAGCATCATTAATCTCTTGATTATGAATAGATTGGACAGATAATATCAACATAGGAACTACTGTACAACGTTCCAAGTTGCCACAGTGAATATCAGCACATCAAACGAGAGTATGCTAAGGTGAAAGAGAAAGAAATAACGAAGGAAGCCGTCAAAAGTGGTAGAAAGTTATGAAAAAACAGTAAAGAGGAGTAAGAAGATATTGAACTTCAGTTGGATGACCAAGATGAAGAAAATATGCTGACATATCCGTACTAATCAGATCGATTGTGAGCCATATCACTTAGATTCTCCAACCACCGACCCCTACCTGGGAATCTACATTTTCTTACATGGCTTAGACCAACATTCTATGACTTTATGAAGTGATGTCATGTTTTAGTCTGAACTTGAACCGATTCATAACAGTACTACATCCTTCGTCACTTTTGTTCGAATCATCTAATTACTAATTTTATCATTTGTATCATATTTAAGCATTAATTATAATAATCATGATTGTTTTAGGGTGATAAAGGAGAACCAGCAATCATTGATGGTCGAGAGGGTATGGGAGAGATGGGACCTAAAGGTGAAAAAGGTGAACGTGGTCCAAAAGGTATTCGTGGTCGAGATGGAGACAAAGGACAACCTGGTATAGCTGGACCAAAGGGTTATCAGGTAAGCAAGCAGATGATCGTTTAATCACTGAAATGAAATAGTACTGTTTTTTATGTTTGGATTTTTAGCAAAGGCAGAAAGATGGTAGTTTAAGATGACGGTATTAGATTCTTCTGCTTTCTGATCAGTATTTAATATGCATTAAATAAATGAAAGCTAATTGTGGCTCCTTAAACATTCCCTTAAGTCAGCAAGTTTTTTCCTTTAATCCATCGATTGCACCAGCACAGTTCATGCTGTGAACCATTTAAGGTAAAGACCAATAGCATGATCTAACCAGAGTGGAAGTGTTAACAACTTCAGTGATATGCATTACCTGATCACTGGACAGTAATCAATTTGATACTACACAATTCCAGGTACTAATCGACTTCGACTGATCATTTTTCAGCATGATTACTAAGAAAAGCAAATCACCATTATGATGCAATTTGACTGGTGTTACTTAACGGGAAGCCATCGAAAGAAGCCCTGACCCTAAATTTTCTACTTATTAGCATCTATCAACAGGTTAAGGTCTCTTCGAACTCATCGTTCCATTCAGTGTTGTGGATACACCTTGCGAGTAGCAGCCACCAAGTATAAGACCTAGATACCAAGTTTCTTACAGATTACCTTCAAGTATCTAACTTCAGTGGTGAACTGAAAAAATGAGTAATTCATCAACATCCACATCTGATCAGTCTTTGGTGTTAAATGTTCTTCTAACTGAACAGGATTTATTAGTTATTATTATTAGACCCTTGGGTTACCAGTGGAAAATAAGGCTTCACTAGCACATCACCATCTCACTCTCTTCTCTACAGTCTTCTCAACTTGGCTCCACCAATACCCACAACCTTTCATTTATTCCTCTTACCATCTACTCCATCTCACCCTCACATCGCACACCAAACTCATCGTTTCTCATTCGCCTTCAACTCAAGGGCCTGGTTGGACCTGACCTGATGCGTGATGTCTGCAAACCGTCTTCTCAGTATGTGTCCAATCCAATCCATCCACCTACACTTTCTTCTGCATATTGGCTGGGTGATTGATTGTTGGTTGGTTCGTTGACAGCCAGCCACAGTGATTTCCTTGTTGCTTATTCCTATTATTCTCACCATCCATGTGATCTTCAGTGCCAGTATCGAGTGAACGTGGACGGCAGTTGTTGATGTGATGTGATGCGATGTGATGTATGTCTGTAGTTTGTTAGCAAATCTTTGCATAATGCGCCACCAAGTCTCTCAACCATCACATGGAATCACTGACTTGACTGAATAAGTGTTGAAGATGTGGATGTTGTTCACGCCTCATGCTGAGCGGAGTGCACTGCAGTACAGCACAGTACAGTACAGTAGATCTCCACACTGACTTCAGAGTAATGCAGAAAGGCGTATCTTGTTATCTTCACAATCCTGACATTGATGTCCTCATCTGTGCTACCACCTCCGACTGTATTTCAAACGATGCTATCTTGTCTATGTAGTTGGGTGAAAGAGACAACTTCCTTTCGATTTCTTCCGTTGATGATGGTGGTGGTTGAGCATCTTCATTACCTGTTTTCTCTACGTTAACTTGAAGTCAGTCTCATCTTCGCTGCCGTGCCTTTTCTGTCAGCCTGTTGGTTTTTGTTTGTAGATCTTCGAGTTTGTGCGATATTAGACACAAATCATAGCTGAAATCCAAATCTTCTAGGATCTTTCCATAGGTCCAGCTTGCCTATGCCCATCTTCTCGCTCCTCATTGTTTACTGTATGATCCAGTCCACCACAATAAGGAAGATCATTGGTGCTAGTTGGCGGGTACCTTGTTATACTCCTGTCTTCACTTCAAAGGCATCACTGTGCTTTTCATTTTGAATCACTTGGCATGTAGCCTCACCATATAGCACATAGCTGTTGAGTGAGGTTGATAAAGGTTTGTGGCGCTAAAACCGTAGTGTTGAAGCAGCTGCCTGGCAAATTACTTCTCAGTTGACGCTATCGAAGACTTTATCAAAGTCGATGAAGTTGAGGTAAAGATGAGTTGACTGCCAGTTTATACTCTGTTCTATGCTGATGATGCGTAGCGTAGCAATTTAATTTGGACATGATTTGTTTTTCCTGAAGCCAGTCAGTCAGCCTGTTCCGGTTATAATTTTGAATTCAGAGCATGTTTTAGAAATGAACACTAAAGGTTTAGAAAACTTGAATAGTTTCTCATTTAAAAAAGAATTTACCTGAAAATATGCTGAACAGTTTACAATGTAGTGTGTTAGATGTGGAAAAGAAATAGGCATGAAAATAATAATTTTTGCCGAAATGTTTGTAAACCAATGAACAGATATTGATGTGTTTTATTCTTACTTTACAGATTCATTTGTAAACTGGACAGTGTAAATCCCTTAAGTAAACTGCATTTTGACAGCCCATTACAATTTACTCCATTATTATTATTATTATTACTATTATGTCTATGCTTTGAAGTTTCTGTAGCGGTTGGATTGGTTTTATGGGGTAGGGTTGCTAGCCCTATTTATCTGGGCTTAGGACTGGCTAGTAACTGGTCAAATAGTTAACCAGGCGAGGTTAATTTACTCCATAGTATACTACTATTATTATTACCAAACTCAGTGTGCTCGTGGTTGTCGTCTGGGTGACAATAACGGAGTAGATTATTGATTCTCCAGTTGACGGTTTGGAGAGTCCACTCCCATTCCATCTGCTTTCGCGAATTCCAAGCACTTCGATATGATACCTTCTCATCTCGTTTGCAATCTGGGCTGCCTTGCTGGGTTCAAACATCGTGCGGACATTGCATGTCCCAACGTTTACTTTCACTTTCATCGAGAATAGAGAAGACACATCGACCCGGCTAATTGGCTTCCCGAAGGCTTTCACCAACTGACGTCATTTCGCCTCTCCGATTCCAGCTAGGAATAATTTTGTTATTATCTTTTATATATCGTTTGTGCTTTGAAGCTTCTTTAGCGGTTAGATTTGTTTTCCGGGGTAGGGTTGCTAGCCCTATGCCCAACCTTTCCTCTATACCCAGGCTTAGGACGGGTTAGTACCTAGTGAACTAGTTAACCAGGCGAGGTTATATATATATATATATATATATATATATATATATATATATATATATATATATCTGATTCAGATCTGGTTATTTTAGTGACTTGTTTATTTGTTCGATTCAGGTGAAATGATGAATATTTTGAAAAAGATACCTATTTTTCTATTTATCTTTCTATAGGGGATTAAAGGAGATCGTGGTGAACCGGGTATTAAAGGAGAAAAAGGCGATACACCTACACCAATTTCTTTACCATTTGTAAGTGTACATTGAAAAAAAATATATATCAGTCATATAAGAATCTGATGGATTTTGCAACCGAACACAACTACCAAACACAAACACACACACACACACACACACACACACACACACACTGAAAACTGCCACTTAAAAAAAACAATACTACATATTTTGTTTTTCTAAATGTTACTGAAGTTTGTTAAAGTTTGTTGACCCAAAAAGTAACTATTCGTTCTTTTAGAGGTTAAGAAAAGTAGTAAACAAAACTTTGATACCTTGTACTTGGTAAATTAGATATTTTTCTCATGTAAATAGTAAACAGTGCTTGCGTAAAACAAGTCAATTCGATATATATATATATATGCTACTTACATGTATTAAGTAGTAAGAGTGGGAAAAGAATTTTGATGCATATTTGTTCACATTTATATCTGTTTCAATTAACAATTGCGTCATAATATTGTAATTTTAGGCAGAACCTGGTGAAAAGGGTTTCAAAGGTGAAAAAGGTACATCTTATGATGAATCACCGTTGATCAAAGGTCAGAGGTGAGTATCAATAGTTTGACAGTAAGATCTAAAATGTATAATAAATCTCTGGAGAAACTCAACGGTAAACATTTTTCACTTTTTTTTTCTTTTTTTCATAAAGAATAGGGATAAAAGGTGTTAAAGGACTTCCTGGTCCAAGAGGTGAACCCGGTGATGAAGGCCCTCCAGGTCCACGAGTAAGTAATAGCTTTTATAGGATTTCCTGTGTTTCTTTTGCGGATATATGTGAATAATTGAGAAAGAATACTTGTTGTAGTGGAAAGATTCTTACTTATAAGATTATTGTACTTTTTAATAGGGTTCTCCTGGACTAAATGGAGTGCGAGGGCTTCCAGGTCCTATCGGAGATGAAGGTTCAATGGTAAGTTTACAATTGTTATTTCAACTTTTACTTTGTTTTGTTAATGAATCAAACTTCATATGTAAATTGATGATGTTCTAAAGGTAGAACCACAGTAAGAACTAATGATTATTTTATTTATTTATTCAGGGAAAATTTGGTAAACCTGGAGCACCTGGTATACCTGGACCACCAGGACGATTAGGACAAGATGGTTTGCCTGGACCCCCTGGACCACCTGGTTATCCTGGACCAAAAGGAGACAAGGGATATCCAGGCACTCAAGGACCTAAAGGTGAAAAGGTAACCAGAATTTCTATCACTTCTATAAAATGTATAAAGTAGCTTAATTAATTCTAAGGAAAAAAGTCATGATGTGAGTGGATTAAAAGTTGTCAACTATTCATCTTATTGGTTATTAAAAAGCTCAACGTTGTTAAGGTCAAGGCCTTTTCAGTTATTATACAGTACAGAGTACAAAGTGAAGGTGAAATTGTGCCTGATCTTCTTGAACGAAGCGACTGGTTTGTGTTGACATTTACGCTCATCATACAGATTTTGAGTACAATTTATCTGCCAAGCTGTAATTAAGGACCGACTTTTAAGACCAACCTAGTAGCTGCCGAAATATCCAATCGGATTTCTCCATTTCCATTGAAAAGGCGAACTGCATAAAATACATAACTCTGATTAGTTATTTCGGTCATTGTTAAGATGACCTTTTGCAATTAAGACCAACCAACCACCTTATATGAATAACTCTACAGTAACCTTAAAGGTCACCCTAACGATCTCGTTAATAACCAATCAGGTTTCGATATTTTCGATAGAAAGTTAGTTTCTTATAAAATAAAGAAACGTGGTTGGTTATTTCAACAGTTAGTATTAGGGTTACTTTTAAAGGTACATGTAACTGACTCTAAATCCCACCCTAGCAACTATCAAAGTAATAACTTATACTTTTATATTTCATAAAAAACTAGAATCCCAAATTGAATGGTAAAACTTGGTTGGTTATTTCAGTAGTTACTAGGATGGCCTTTTGAGTTGCTCCTATAAAGTGTGTGATTTAGAGTTAAGTTATCTAATAATCATTTGAGAGATATATAGCGGTCAATAAGTTTGAGTATTTGATAAAGTGAAATATTTGATGAAATTTATTTCTTTTCAATGTCAATGAAATTATTTTAGGGTGTCAAAGGTGAAACAATAGATATTGATGCAATGCCTGGACCTGATGGAGATATTGGTGAACCAGGTGTTAAAGGTGAACGTGGGGATCCAGGTATGCACTGAGAATATTTTTTAAAATTTTTGTTTACTGTTGCTAAAATTATCTTCCTTCATCTTAAGATGGCGATCATGACAAAGTGACATCACTTGTAAAATCATTAGAAACTTGAGAGTACTGTACAGTGCTGTTTCATTCATCCATGAGTCAAAGACATATAGATTCCTTGGATAGCACGTTTCTCTTCAGTCATTGGGTTTGAAGCCCATGGTACAGATTTCTTTACTTCTAACGGTTAGTGATATATTGAAAAAAGATATTTCAAACAATCACTCTGTATGAATGATGGATAATGGTTAGCAGTGGAAACAAACCACAACGACAATCTCATCATATTTAGAATTCGTCAGCCGAATGTATCTGCCTCTCAGTGACCAATGTTATTCCCACTAATATTCAGTATACACAAACTGAAACTCTCATTCGTTATAATCCTATTCTCACTAAATCACTAAGTCGAATGACATTTGTATTTATGCTTTAGCTCATATACATAAGTCGATTCCACCTTTAAAAATCTTTTTAGACTAATGAAAGGAATAATTTAGTTGGTTGTGGTTAGCAGAAGAATCCAGAACGCATGTTTCGTCCTGTTTGGGACTCACTCGGCAGCTCGATTTACCTACAACTCAGTGATATTCTTCACACTGAAACTGCATTCTTCTACTAGCCACAACCAACCTAATTATCATAATTAGTATTAAGACAATATCGAAGCATCCATATAGGAGCCCGTTTCACAATAGACATCGAACAATTCAATCCAACACAACAAAACAACGGAGAATAACAAGTATGTCAATAAATAGTGATAACTACTACCTGTTGTACAACAAGTGGCTGTTGTCTCTCTGCGGCATATTGGATAACGCCTTGGCATTTGAAGTGATGGGTATGAAGTCCTAGTCTCGATGGGAACAAGATCATTGGGGTGCAGGTACATCGAGCTGACGAGTGAGTCCCAAGTAGGACGAAACGTGCGTCCTGGATTCTTCTGCTATCCAAAACCAACCAATTTATCATAATTAACATTCAGGCATTATCGAAGTATCCACATAGGAGGCTATATGCCTACAGAGGTCGAAAAATTCGACCCAACAAAACAACGGAGAATAACAAGTATGTTAATAAATAGTAATAATGAAGGGAATGGTTAGGATTCTAGTCAGATTAATAGTTCATTCAACAAATTCATAGCTATATGCTTTAACAATGAATGTGTGAAAGTCTCTGAACAATATCTTCATTAGATGAATGAACTAGTTGGGTATATATGAGAAATATTTGTATTAAACGCAAGCTTATACACAGGCAAATACTAAGTTTTGTAAGATATACAGTGAGACGAAATAGTTCCTTACGATCATTTTGAAGTAAGTGAAAAAAATTCAATGAAGATATTCTTTTCAGTTAATTCACCCACTTAGCTGGAAATACATTTGGTTCACGGTAATAATTTTAAAAAAAATGTTATTTTCTACCCCTTCCCCCTCACTTCCTGTGTCACTTGTTGTCCATACTGATCTTGGTGATTACCAGGCTGCGCGCTTCGTCCTACTAAGGACTCGTAAGCTGAATGTAGCAGGACCCCAGTCAGTGGAGTGGTTCCCACTGTGAATCGAACTCAGTACCCATCGCTTAAACAGACAGAGCCTTATTCACTAACCCGAGTACCAAATAAAACAAAACACCAGTCCTGGAGTCATCTGTTAGTCACCGAGATCAAAGTTACATCGTGAATCAGCTCAACTAATCAGATTCCTACGAGTAAGTGTCCTAGTCCAATAGGAAAGTACCTTGGCCACACAAACTTATTGACTTCTAAACAGAGGAACCAGCCAATCATTTTTCATTTCAGATTTCTTTCTTCCACCCTAAGTAGACTAGGGGGGTAATAAAGGTAATAAAGGTCGACGACTTAGCTATACAATCGTATTTGTGTGACATGACTAAATATTAATGAATGAGTCGTAATCAGAGTGGGTAAAATAACAACCAATAGTTGATAATATGAACAGAAAGAAGGTTTACAGAGAGGAGACGTTCAGAATACCTAAGATTAAGACCATAAGGGGAACAAGAGTTGAATAAGTCTCTTTAGTGTGCGGAACTCCGGCTTTCCTGTCTTCATTGCTAAAGTTTCAGTAATACAAAGGAGGTGGATGTATACTGACTTTGTCAAGTTATTCCATCTTTTAGATAACTTGGAAAGAGGTGGTTGTTGAAATTGAATGACCAGTGTGAACAAGGTGTTGGATTATCGCACTTCTTATAAAACCTTTGTTACCTCTTTGTAGCCATGTAGGATAGTTTTCTTGTACCTTTAGGACAGGATTCACGTCAGACAACCGAAAAACTTCGCTCCATACGAGTAGGTGAACTTATATACTGCCAAAGAGATGGCAAGATGTAGATTCTTTCAGATGTTTCCTAAGTAAACGGTGACTAGTAAACACTACTGTGGCAGTTGTTGCATAGAAACTTCCCTTCAATGAACTTGAAATCCTTCCCTTTAGGATGTCAACAGGTTGATCGCCTTTGAATTCAGGGTTCACATATAGTATCTTTTTTCGATATGCAAACTGAATCATGTTTTGGTTGTTTCGATTTGATGTTTTTATCAATGAACCATGGTGGATATCCGTTTTCAATCAAACTTATCTTTAGAATACTTACGTCTTCATATCTGGGCTACAAATGCTTCAGATGCGAGTACCAAAGGATATTATTAAATTCCTCTCCCAACTAGTAGACACTCATCTATAGAAATTTGTCAGTTACCCATTCCATGTAGGCTTTCTGTGAATCGACCTCCTCAAGGTCCAACTAGCCTTTCTCGGTAGTTCTACACCAAAATAAAAAATTCACAAACAGTAAGTTTCTTTAAGGTATTCATGTAAACCAGTTATTAAATAAATAAGAACTCATTTTCCCATTAGTTTTCAGTTAGAAAACCGTCATCAAAATCTACTGTAATAGTCCTATTGAAGTTAATTAAGGATGTGTACATGTACCACGAGAAGAACATATCATGAATCTCACTTGGCTTGTTTCACCAAGCGAGTAATGATTATATCCTACCATTATGGTGATCTGATATTCCTGATTGTGGTCTACTGGATCATGCAACAAACAGTGAGGAGCAAGAAGAGGGGCATACGTTGACTGGATCGATGAAAAGATCCTAGAAGATTTGGATTTCGACGCCGATGACTTGTGTCTAATGTCACACAAACTCAAGGATGTACAGCCGAAAAATAACAAGTTGACAAGAGAGGCGAGGAAGTGAATGTGGAGAAGACAGGGGTGATGAAGATACCCTACCAACGTCACCACCAATAACAACAACAAGCTTCAATCACCATCATTGGGAGAAACTTAAAGGAAGTTGCCTCTTTCACCCACCACCTAGGCAGCACTGTTTCAAATACAGGCGGCGGTGACGGCAGACACGACGACGTCAAAGCAGCCAGCATCCGAAAGACAGCAACACAGGCATTCCTTCATTAACCTGAAACCACTGTGGAGATCTTCTGCACTCCACTCAACATAAAGCATCAACAACATTCGCACTTTCAACACGAATGTCAGTTGAGTGAGCCAGTACTTCTGTGTGATGGTTGAGAGAGTTGGCGGTGTGTTACCAAAAGCATTTCCAACAAACTACACACATTCATCAATAACTGCCTACACTGGCTCGATAGTGACACTGAAGATCAAATGGATTGCCAGAATAAGAAGAATAAGCAACAAGGAGCTCACTCTGATTGGCTGGCTGGCTGGCTGACAACTAACCAACCAAGAAGCTATCGCTTAACAAATACGCAGAAGGAATTGGAGATGGATTGGGCATGCACTGAGAAGACCATTGGGGGACATCACGCGTCAGGCATTCGAGTGGAACCCAGATAGGAAGCGTCGAGTTGGGCGTCCGAGGTGAGGATGACACGGAGGAGGAAATAAGAGCTTGTGGGCTGTCTTGGAGCCAAGTTCAAAAGATTGTAGAGGAGGGAGTGGAATGGAGATCCGCTACTATAGCCGTATGTTCTACTAGGAACCCAAGGGAAAAATTATTATTATTATTATTACTATGGTGATCTGGGGAAGTTACATTAAATGTTAATAAGCAATGTATTGTGAGACACAAAGTTTTTTGTTGGAATCGTTACCGCCTACTTACTGTTTAGAAGCTTTTAAAAGTCCCAGAATTATGGTTCATTAGTCTATCGTCTTATATAATTGTTGATTAAGAGCAATTTTATTATGATTTCATATATTTAGATGAGCCCATAAATTGTAAAGGTTGAATATAATAAATACATTAATGACTCCCATGAAAGTATATTTGTTTTACCATTTGAAATCGGTAATTTTCACTTTTATTGTTATCTATATTATCATCAATCACAAGAGACCTAATACATAACAAAAGTTCAAAATCATTTTCAAATCGACTTTACGTGATACTTATCTAAGGATTGACTGTTGATCTCGACGACTCAGTGTGTTACACGATAAACTAGGATAAATGTGTCTTCTGTTAGAGGAGATATAATGTGTTACAAGATAATTGCAGTTATCTTATGATGTGGTTTGTAGAAGTGGCTTTAAAAGGCCTTTAAGCAACTACTGAAATAACCAATCAGGGACCTGGATTTTATGGAAAAAAAACTACCATTATGTCCGGAATTTACGAAAACTTTTTCATTCCTAACTAGGTTGGCCTTTAAAGTTATTCGTTCACCATGATATGCATGCTTAACTAATAATCTTATTAATCAGTATGACAAGAAATGAAAAGTTATAGGCTTCGAAATAATGGAGAATGTTTGTAGCTTAGGTGGGTGGTCTTGGTTGTATTGTGTTCTCTGAAATGGGTTGTTTAATCATGAAGCTTTCATCGCCTTGCTAGACAGTGACATCATCAGCACCAACTTCAGTATGAAGTGAGCCGTCAATATTTCTCCGTCAATGATTTAGTAGCTTGCCTTGATGATGTGGTCTGTGATTGATTGCTTCCTTCGACTGTTGTGTCATTGGTTGTGTTGACTTTCCTGTTGGCTGTTCCTCTGACTGACCTCTAACCTTTCTGTCGTTTATCATTTTTCTTATTGGTTGATAGATTGGGTTTATATCTATACATGTGTTGATTGCTGACTGACTATCTGACTGACCTGAATGCCAAGGTTCTAGGAATTCTCTGATATTCATTGTGTTTCCTCTTTCCATCCAAGATTTCTACATTGTCGAAATTGAATTCATGTCCACAGTTATTATCCACATGCATTGAAATGAGTGATGAAATGTCGTGGCGTTTAATAGTCAATTGGCGATCATGTAGACGAAGGCGAAGAGAGCGGCCACTTTGTCCAATGTAGTGTTGACTACAGTTATTACAGTTGATTTTTTGAATGATAGTCGGCTTGTCTTCTTTGGTTGTTGCATCCTTCGGTCTGAATAATACTGTTTGAAGGGAATTTGTTGGTTTATAAGCCACACCAATTCCATCAAGTGGTCTCAGTAATCTTGTCATGATTTCTGATATATTCTTTATGCATTATGGTAGGATGATGCTGATGATGTCGTCTAGCAAGGCAATGAAAGCTTCACGATTGAACAACCCAGCTCAGAGTAGGCAATACAACCAAGTTATAGGCTTCTTCCAAAAGTCTGGTAAGCTCATTGTAAAATGAATAGTTGTAAGATTTCTGACTGCTTCTATCAGTAAAGAAAACAGTTTTTTGAAACAAAAATAAATCAGATACTAAAATAATATACATATTAATGAATAGATCTCAGTCAGTTAAAAAGAGTAAGTAAAAATTATATATATTTATATCTGTATTGGTTTTTAATTAGTTAATTATCATTGTTATTACCATTATTATTTCTAAAGGTCCTTATGGAACAAGAGGTCTTCCTGGTGGACGTGGACCACGAGGAGATCCTGGACCTAAAGGTGATCCAGGACCCGGATATGCACAGATTATTGTAGGTGAACCTGGAAGAAAAGGAGAGAAAGGTAAGTCGCCTATACCACTAGAATTACACGTGTAGATTAGCTAAATTTTGTAATGATGTTCAATTTCCAAGAAGTTGAATGATTTCTTACTAAGAAATTATGTGATCAAAACAGTATCGTCTTAATTACCTAGTTATTAATCCATTCCAGATGAATGAACTTCATATATTTAGAAATAGTGATTTGGGTGTGTTTTATGAATATCCAATTTTTGAGATGAATAGGGATTTTAAGTAAGAGGTAGAACTCATCATTTGAGGAACCTTTGAAAGTCTAGGAGAACTGGGCAGTATGAGACTCCTCAGCAGTACGCACCCAAGACCCAGGAAAGAATCGAACTCAGGACCTTCAGATTTTACAGCGAACGCGTTAATCATTCAGCTGCTGGGTCGGTTTCCGGTGGTTTACAGTTTCCAACTTCTGTCAATTTATGATGATATAGTGTGACTATCACCCAAGGTCTTCAGTTGATATTCACTTATCTTCCAACTGGTTGACCCCAGGGTTCACGGATTCCCATTAGAACTTCGTGATATCCATCTGGAAGCATGCCATGGGTATGTACGTCTGAGGATTCTCGTGCTACAACGAAACAACTGTCCAGTGATCCGAGTTTTTCAATGGTTCCCTGACTTATGTCAGTCCATGATGAATACTACCTCCAAATATCTAAGTATTACCATATTCTAAGGGAAATAAGAGTTCACGATAAACAGAAATGACTTCACATTGTTCATAAGTTGATATTGCAAGGACTGAAATACGGTGTTTTTATTTTGTGTAAAACTTCACTGAGTATGACTATTTAATCACCATCTCCTTAATCTTAGATCGACTGATGAGTCAGAAAATTGACAAATATGTTTATTGTATTGTAGTTTAAGAGAAAAACGTCTAGATAGTGTTGCATTTTATCGTCACCTGCCTTATGGATAGATACATAAATTTCAGGGGATGCTTTCAGGTTTCAACACGACCTAGAAATTTAGCCTTAATACATCAGAAAATAATTTTAATCAATAAAATTTCTATAACAATATGGTGTGATATCTATCAGTCAGTGGGTCAAGCCATTTTTGCTTTTAAAGTCTAAACAGTGATACTTCTGGTTTAACAACCTAATATATAACTTACAAAATCGCTTCATATTCATGATTATTTGACTTGTGGATTATTTTAGGTCTACCAGGATTAGATGGAAAGCGTGGAAAGATGGGAAGACCCGGAATTCCGGGACCAAAAGGAGAAAAAGGTTATCCTGGTCGTGAAGTATATGGGAAGAAAGGCGAAAAAGGTTCACGTGGATTTCCAGGACCTATTGGACCGCCAGGTCAGTCATCTTTTACTCAGCAGTAAATATAGAAAGGATAACTGTTCCTTAAGAAAGCTGAGTAGATGTTTAAGGGTGAACTTTTGTTGTTGTTTTTTCAGGTGATCGTGGAGTAGCTGGTCGACCAGGTCCCGTAGGTGATAGAGGAGAAGTTGGTCCGAGTATTGATGGTCCTCCTGGACCTAAGGGAGTTAAAGGTCAACCTGGTTTACCAGGTATACGTGGTCGTGAGGGTGATGCTGGTCCTCCTGGTGAAAAAGGTGATTGTACTGTTTGTCCAGATGGAAGACCTGGTTTACCAGGACCTAAAGGTTTTCGAGGTCAACCTGGATGGCCTGGTGAACCCGGTTTGGATGGTTCACCTGGACAGAAAGGTCTACCAGGTGCACAAGGACGAGATGGTCTAGTTGGTGTACCTGGTCAAAAGGTATGCTTAACATTTCTAATTACTAAGAAGTTTGTTTTAATGAGGTCAGAGTTAGTTTTTGACCTTGTGAAAATCACTATAACTCATTAATTTATTTGCTTTATGAAATTTTGCGGTTGATAAACGTTTTCCGTTCCCTTCTTTTTAAATGTTATGCTAAAAAAATACTTACTATGTGACATAAGATTATCTTTTTAAAGAAACAGTACAACGTAGACTAATCAGTTTTATTATCATGAATGATCAAACCGACTGACCTATAAACTTTACCTAACTCAAGCATATTTCAGAGCTACCCAAAATAATTGTAGAACCAGCATAATGTTTATATAGTCACAAGTTTGTGAAGCCTCTGATGTACTGGATAAGTCACATAATTTTTGTAAAGTTCTACAGAGAAATGCGGTACAAGGTCTATATGCTCAGAGTGAAAAAGTTCCATTTGTGTGTAATATTCTGTCACACCAATACTACTATATCTGTCCTAGTTCATGATGAAAAATATCATAAATATTTCTCTAGAACCGTGATAAACAAGATAAATTATCATCTTTGGAGCTATTTGAGTAGTTAAGTTTGATAAGTACTGATAAAATAATATAGACATTCATGTAAGTTGAAAATACACATCTTTATAAAGTAAGTGCTGATAAAGTCACAGAACACTGAACAATTACCATGTGCATTTTCCTTATGCTTTTAACATCTCACTGTTACATTTGATTCAACTGATCAATCTGTTTTACGTTATGAGGTCTAAAGTTTCAGCGCTTAAAGCCAATATATGGTGGGTTCGAGCCCAAGTAGGAAGATCATCGTTCACTAGGATGCAGGTATATCCGGTTGACGAGTCCCGGATAGGATGAAGCGTGCATCCTAGTCAACATCAAGCAAATTACAATATCATACTTATCCTGAAATAAAAACTTTCCCTCCTATACTAATATCTGACAGATAGGCAAAATCAAGGTAGAATCTCGCACATGTATCCATCTGCTCAACTTCACAGTATTTCCGAAAGAACAGGTGAATAGAAAAAGTGTCAGAGAATCAAAAATCTGGTCATTAATTGGTTCGAATTATTACTTTGATCACCCATCGAAGTATGCAACTATAGTAACCTGTTAATTTGGTTGGTTATGGCTAGCAGAAGAATCCAGGACGCACGTTTCGTCCTACTTGGGACTCACTCGTCAACTCGATGTACCTGCACCCCAATGATCTTGTGCCCATCGAGACTAGGACTTCATACCCATCACTTCAAATGCCAAGGCGTTATCCAATATGCCGCAGAGAGACAACAGCCACTTGTTGTACAACAGGTAGTAGTTATCACTATTTATTGACATACTTGTTATTCTCCGTTGTTGTGTTTTGTTGGATTGAATTGTTCGATGTCTATTGTGAAACGGGCTCCTATATGGATGCTTCGATATTGTCTTAATACTAATTATGATAATTAGGTTGGTTGTGGCTAGTAGAAGAATGCAGTTTCAGTGTGAAGAACATCACTGAGTTGTAGGTAAATCAAGCTGCTGAGTGAGTCCCAAACAGGATGAAACATGCGTCCTGGATTTTTCTGCTCATTATAACCAATCAAATTATCATAATTGACATTCAGGCAATATCAAGGCATCCGCATAGGAGCCCATATGCCAATTTGATCCAACAAAACAACGGAGAATAACAAGTGTGTCAATCAGTAGTGATTATAGTAATCTGTCTTTCATGAATTCTACACTGTATTTTGAAGTATAGACATGATTCATGAACTGATCCCAAGAAAATATCAGCACAAGTCAAACGAAACAAAAAATGATACGGTTTTATTCAGAAATCTAACAGACACAACAATGATTACGATCCAGAATTTATATTTTACTGAGTTGTAGAGAAATAAGAAAACTAATATCAGACTAGTATGATACACCAACCACCAACAACAACAGCAAACTCCAGTCACCATGAACGGGAGAAACTTAAAGGAAGTAACCTCCTTCACTTATCTAGGAAGCACTGTTTCAACTACAGGCGGGACGGACGAGGACGTCAAAGTCAGAATCGGAAAAGCAAGACAGGTGTTCATTAGCCTGAAACCAGTGTGGAGATCTTCTGCACTCAGCATGCGGAGCAAGATACGGATTTTCAACACCAATCCAGTCAAGTCAGTGCTTCTGTATGGCTCAGAGACTTGGCGCGTCACGAAAGGTATTTCCAATAAACTACAGACATTCATCAACAACTTCCACTTACGCTCGCTACTGAAGACCAGATGGATTGCCAGAAAGAATGAGCAACAAGGAGCTCTGGGAACCAACCAACCAAGAACCTATCGCTCAACAAATATGTAGAAGGAAATGGAGATGGGTTGTATTGGGCATACACTGAGAAGGCCGACTGAGGACATCACGCGTCAGGCCAGTTGCTCGAGTGGAATCCCCATGGGAAGCGACGAGTTGGGCGTCGGTGCCGAGGGTGACATGGAGGAGGTCGTGCGAGGAGGAAATGAGAGCTTGTGGGCTGTCATGGAACCAGGTTCAAAAGATCTCAGAGAACAGAGGTCACTGGAGATGTGCTAGTGAAGCTCTATATTCCATTAGGAACCCAAGGGACTAATAATAATAAATATTATGATACACCAAATCACTTGATAAAAAGCCCATATAACTCGCAAATAAATCTGACTAGTAGACAGTTCGAAATGCTTCAAATAAGTATCACCGCTTGTAGATGTGTAATTTTGATATGATTTACCCATTGATGCCCAGCAGTCAAATCTAGGATGTGTTTCGAACAATTTGAGACTTATCAGCTGAATATGGCTGCACCCCAGTAGATGATGACGTCCCCACTGAGACTGGAACCTCGTATCCATCGTTTCAAACATCAAAGCTGTATTCTCTAGGAAGGTGAGGAACGACAGTCTCACTTTATCTAATGGGTATTAGTCATTGTTATTTGTGGATATACTCGTAATTCTTCGTCGTTATACTTGATTGAACTGATCGACCTCTGTTGGCATACAGCCTCCCATGCAGATGCCTCGATATTGCCTGAATGTTTACCGCTACAAATTACTTGGTGGTAGATAGGAGTGAAATCCACGACTAGCCCTTCTTCCTATTTGATACTCGTCAGCTGAATGTGCTATCACTACAGTGATTGATGAAAAATATATAACTTTAGCACCAGCTCATGGTTACTTTCAGGTAAATGAAATAATAATGATAATAACTGTCATTTCTTTGATTTACGAAGTTCTAGTAACTTCATGAAGCAGTCATGTAGTCAATATTTACAGGTGATACAACAGATTTTCTTTAGATATCAAGAGTCTTTAAGTTTTCAGCTCATAAGTAATCAGGAATGAAAGATTGTTTCAACTACAGACGGCACAGACGACGACGTCCAAGCAGCCAGCATCCGAAAGACAGCAACACAGGCCTTCCTCCATTAACCTGAAACCAGTGTGGAGATCTTCTGCACTCCACTCAACATAAAGTGTCAACAACATTCGCATTTTCAACACGAATGTCAGTGAAGTGAGCCAGTGCTTCTGTGTGATGGTTGAGAGAGTTGGCGGCGCCTTACGAAAAGCATTTCCAACAAACTACACACATTCATGAAGAAGTGCCACCTACGCTGGCTCGATACTGACACTGAAGATCAAATGGATTGCCAGAATAGTAAGGATAAGTAACAAGGAACCCACTCTGAGAACGGACCAACCAACAACCTATCACTCAACAAATATGAAGTGGAAGGAATTGGAGATTGATTGGGCATACACTGAGAAGACCATTGGGGAACATCACGCGCCAGTCCAGGTTGTCGAGTGGAACCCAGATGGGAAACGATGAGTTGGGCGTCGGAGGTGTGGGTGATATGGAGGAGATGGTGTGAGGAAGAGATGAGAGGTTTTGGGCATTTGTGGAGCCAGGTATAAAAGATTTGAGAGAAGTGAGTGGAAGTGAGACGTGGTAGTGAAGCCGTATGTTCCACTAGGAACTCAAGGGACAAATAAATAATAATAATCCTGTTCTTTGCTGAATGGGTTTGATACAAACGTAGACAAATACTGATTATCATTGGATATGTGTAAGATAAGAGGTAAGTCAAGTGTTAAAAGAAGGAACATTACTTACAATGCAATGTGAATTATTTTATTATTAGATATCCGTTGGGTTTTTTGTGGAATATGGGGCTTGAGTAGCACGTCACGCCCATAAGCTTTCATTTCGTAAGAAGTGAAAGTTGATTCCATGTAAAACAAGTGACTTGATTATTATGATAACTACTACTATTTAACATTTGATTTTTTCTAGGGAGAGAAAGGTGAACGTGGAAACGATGGTACTCGTGGACCAAAGGGTGAACCAGGTCCTGTTGAAATAGTAAATGTTACAGTACCAGAAGCCCCACGTGGTGATGTTGGCCGTCCAGGTCGCGCTGGAGTAGTTGGTGAACAAGGCCCAAAGGGTTTTCCAGGTCCAAAAGGCTTGCCTGGACCAGAAGGTCTAAAGGTAAGTTTTCATTAGTATTAGTTGTCATTGTATCCTGGGCTAAACAAACAGAATAGTTTCATAAGTTGTCCGTGAGCTTTAGTAACATGCAGCTTCATCAAATGTTTGCATAATTCCTCACCAGCTAAGAAGTCAATCTCTAAAACTATCTTACAAGAAGGACGTCAGCAAGAGCGTGACTAGATTATTGAAGTCTTTTAAAATCGCTTTAGCTCACAAGTCCATAAAATCTTTCCAGTCTCTGTCATGCTGGTCGTTAGATACAATAGCAAAGGAAGATACACTAAACGTTATCTTCAAAATAAACTGTAGAAACTACGAAAAACACTACATCGGACAGAATGGTCACCGTCTTCATATCCAACTACAGGAATACCAACTAACAATGAAGCGTCATAAGGTATCTTGGCTCATATGAATGCATACCGATAACAGTGGAAATGAATTTGACTGGGGAAATGTAGAAACCCTGGTTAGAAGGAATACAGAGGATACCAGAGAAATTTCAAAAGCTTGACGTTCAGGTCAATTAGCGATCAACAGACATATTGACACTGACCCAATCTATCGACCATTAAGAAACAACATGAAGGTTAAAGTTCATATCAACAGGACAACCAATCGAAATAAACATGAAGACAGTGACAAAACTTTGACAGAAATAACCAATCACACACGATGCCATCAGGATAAACTACAAAGCCACTGATGTAGAAAACCCCATAGCTCGCTTCTTTCTGAAGTTTGTACTGATGATGTTGTCTAGAATGACAATGAAAGCCTCAAGATTCTTTCAAGTATGGTACTTCTCATCAGTGGGCACACATGACCCAGCTAGAGGTCGAACCAAGGAAGTTCAAGTTTCTTTCCAAGCACGTCGCCATTGAGCCACATAGACAGAATCCAGCGGTTAACACTTTCCTACAACTGTCGATTCTTAATACAGTGCGGACTTCACATGATGCCATCTACGATTACTTGTCTTCACCTCCGACCTGTTTCACCCTACCGGTAATGACTTCTTATTGAAAATTCTGGAAATCTCATCTCGAAGGAAGTCATTAACTGACATCAAACAATAATTCAGTCTGAAGGTTTTAGGAGATTAACTGATTTCAAGTTGGAAATACTAGAAAATATTTTTCAACTAATATATTTCAAACTTCATTACTACGGAGTACCGCAAACCTCTATCCGCCTCATTCAACAACTATATGAAGATGCTACATGCCAAGTAATTCACAATGGGAAGCTCAGTGATGCTTTTGAAGTGAAGATAGGTGTGAAACAAGGTTGCCTACTATCCACCATGATATTCCTGATCGTGGTCCACTGGACTGGATCATGCAGCAAACAGTGGGGAGCTATGAGAAGAGGGGGATACGCTGGCTGGACTGCGGAAAAGAACCTAGAAGATCTGGATTTCGCCGATGACTTGTGCCTGATGTCACATAAACTTGAAGATCTGCAGGCAAAAACTAACAAGTTGATAGAAGTGGCAGGGCAGCGAAGACGGGACTTCAGGTGAATATAGACAAGACAGAGGTGATGAAGATACTGCACCAACAACTCCAACAACAACAAACTCCAGTCACCATGAACGGGAGAAACTTAAAGGAAGTAACCTCCTTCATCTATCTGCCTAGGTAGCACTGTTTCAACTACAGGTGGCACAGGCACAGACGAGGATGCCAAAGTCAGAATCGGAAAAGATAGGAAGACAGCCGTTGATTAGCCTGAAACCAGTTTAGAGATCTTCTGCACTGCACTCAGCATGTGGAACAAGGGTCCGGATTTTCAACACCAATGTCAAGTCATTGCTTCTGTATGGTTTAGAGACTTGACAGCACGTTACGAAAGTGATTTCATCAACAACTGCTTACGCTGGCTCGATGCTGAAGATCAGATGGATTGCCAGAAAGAATAAGCAACAAGGAGCTCTGGGAACCAACCAACCAAGAACCTATCGCTCAACAAATATGTAGAAGGAAATGGAGATGGGTTGTATTGGGCATACACTGAGAAGGCCGACTGAGGACATCACGCGTCAGGCCAGTTGCTCGAGTGGAATCCCCATGGGAAGCGACGAGTTGGGCGTCGGTGCCGAGGGTGACATGGAGGAGGTCGTGCGAGGAGGAAATGAGAGCTTGTGGGCTGTCATGGAACCAGGTTCAAAAGATCTCAGAGAACAGAGGTCACTGGAGATGTGCTAGTGAAGCCCTATGTTCCATTAGGAACCCAAAGGACTAATAATAATAATAATAATAATATATTTCAAAATCCTGTTTGACATTGAAAACATGTGATAAGTTCCTTGACCCCACATTCCAAATGTAATCCAGTATAAATAGGATAGGAAATCCAATACATCCCAGTTTCCAAGCCGTCAACTAAGCTTTGTGCATCAAGTTCATACAGTTTAGTTTCATAATTGTGATATGTATCATAGTTACTTCTAGAACGCTGCTTAAATGTTTGGAGACGTCAGCTGGTTGTAGTTCACTAGTCATTTTCGTAGTAAAGTTTTTGACTGTTTATTCAAGACTTCTTGAATGTCTTTTCCAGGAGAAAAGTTTACATTTATTTATACTGTAAACTGCTAACGTAGTTGTATAAGAAATACTCTGTCACATGTGAGTCATTCTTTTTGCTTTTGTCACAAGGGTGATACAGGAATGCCAGGATTACCAGGTTTCAGTGGGACAGTTGGAAAACCTGGAAGACGTGGTGAACCGGGTCGTGATGGCATTGTATTTGATGCCCAAAAAGGAGCTCCAGGTGTTCCTGGCCGTGATGGGATTAAAGGTGAAAAAGGAGAGAAAGGAGATAGGGGTAAGTAAATGTTATAAGATTTTAAAAAGTGTCACATAAGAGTGACTTTAAAGGTCATCCTAGCAACTGATACGACAGCCAATTACATTCCTTCAATTCATGAAATAGTACTTTTCGAGGCGAAATATTGAAACATGATCGGTCGTTTGACCAAATGTGATGTTTAAGGTCACTCCTAGGATGTAAGCTCTTCTAAGGGTTCCTAAGGTCACGGTCGACACATTATAGTTCTTAACCGTCTCTGTTTCAGCAACAAAGAGATGAAGTAATGAGTAGAGGTTAGTAAAACTATTAATGCACAAAATATATACCTGTAAATCGCCTAGGTTTGGTTTGCTTTTAAAAGATCTGAACTTCAGGTAAAAATCATCGATAATGTGGCCAAAAATGTGGGACCAAAAGAACCTAGGGGTATTTCAGGTCCACCGGGTGAGCCTGGGAGGAAGGGAGTAAAAGGTCTCCTCGGTCCTAAAGGCCTTCCTGGGATTGTTGGTGACAGTGGCGAACGTGGCCCATCTGGCTTACCTGGTACATTAGCAGCTGGTGATGCAGGCTAGAAATTAATCCTTTTTTCAGATGAATGGGGATTTTTAATTTAGAAGTTGTATTTATCATGGACTGACATCATTTAGGAAACCATTGAAAATCTGGGAGCACTGGAAAGCTGTTTCAATGGTTCCCCAAATGATATCAGTCCATGATGAATACTACTTCTGGATTTAAAAATCCCCATTCATCTCAAAAATACATTACTGTATAATGCTCATTGATGACTTGCTTCCAGATGAATATCACGAAGCTCTAATTAGAAGCCGTGAACTATGGGGTCAACCAGTTGAAAGAGAAGAGGATGTCAACTGAAGACCTTGTGTGATAGTCGCGCTCTATCATCGTAAATTGACAGAAGTTGGAAATTGTGAACCACTGAGAACCGACCCAGTAGCTGAATGGTTAGCGCGTTCACCGTGAGGCCTAAAGGTCTCGGGTACGATTCCTTTCTGAGTCTTGGATGCGTACTGCTTAGGAGTCCCATACTAGGACAAAACAGCTGTCCAATGCTCCCAGCCTTCCAGTGGTTCCCCAAATGATTTTAGTCCATGATGAATACTACTTCTAAATTAAAAATTTATCCTCTTTCTGTAAAAAGTAACAAGGTCACATCAGAGACATTGAAACGTTCACCAACTTGTTACAAATGTTAGTCTGAATACCATACTGTTTCGGAAAAGTAATTATGATCTAATGTCCACCCTTAGCAGTATATACATGTAAAATATTTAGGCCACTACATGACGAATAATGATCCAGAACTATAAAGATCATCTCAGGAACAACTGTAATAACCAGTCTAGTTTCTATATTTCCACTGGGAAAGTAGGTTTTTGATAACAAATTACAGAAATCTAGTTGGTTATTGCTTTAGTTGCCCAAAACAACCTTTAGAATTCATGATATAAATTGTAATTATCGTGTTGTATTTATAAGGTAGCGAAAACCGAGACTGCCGAACGATACAAGAGGATTAGGCAATCAAAGAAGCCCAACGAAGTGTGGAAATGAACTTTAGCTGAGTAACTTCAAAGTCTATCCTAACAACAGCTGGAATAACTAATACGACTTCTTGATTTTATGAAAATCTGGCTTTTTTGTCGTTACTATGGTGACCTTTAGAGTCATTACCTTAGTTATTATAGTTTATACAAGAACAACGAGTACAATTGTGATGATTCAACAGACAAGCTTATCTGAACACCAAGTTAGTCACTTCTATTACTCATTATTAGCATAAATCGAGACCGAATTTCGGAAGCTTTTAAACAAAGCCGTAATGTATAGAGCTAAACAAATTAAGTGTTTGAGCATATACTCACCAAGGGCTTTGGATGATGTTTATGCTGTAACATGGACTGATAGAAGTAGAATCATATAGATCATTGAATTGGCTGAAAGGTATCATGGTTCCATGAAACTTGATGGTTCTAGGCTCAATCTCTGGTTAGGTTATGGGTGCCCACTGCTAAGGAATACGGAACTAAGACGAAAAAGTTGTCTACTGTTCTAAAGGTTTTACTGGTTCTTTTTAACTAACATCAGTCTTTGTTGTCTTAGAACTTGTCTGATTTATTAAAAAGATTGTAATTAGGGAGAAAAAAAGGATGGCACAAGTCATTAACCATGTTCTTATTTGTTATCCTTTGAAATTTCAACTGTGATATATGTGTATAGTTATTTTTCATAGCGGAGAAGCAGCTTCTTCGAAGATCATGAAAACTTGGAAATCTATTCTTTTACCTCAATGAGATTTTTTCAGATATATTTTCTTAATAATCCATTTACTTAATGTTCAACTTATTTCAAACTTTATTCTACATCTACCTCTCTCTGTATTAAGGTGTGGATAATATTGTCGATCAAATATTTGAATATATTAAAGGTGAAATAGGTCCTAAAGGATATCCAGGTGATAAAGGATTATCAGGATTTCCAGGAGAAAAAGGTAAAAATGAGTTCATGCATTATAAATTGAAAAAAAATTATTAAAAATTTAATTCATAATTACTAAAAATAAATATTTTAAGTCAATAGATCAAAGTTCTCAAACCAGGTCCATCAACTATACCATAGACGATTCAAAAGGTTTTCTTTTGAATGAAAATAATGTAACTCATCATTATTTATTTGTCCCTTGAGTTCCTAGTGGAACATACGGCTTCACTACCACGTCTCACTTCCACTCACTTCTCTCAAATCTTTTATACCTGGCTCCACAAATGCCCACAACCTCTCATCTCTTCCTCACACCATCTCCTCCATATCACCCACACCTCCGACGCCCAACTCATCGTTTCCCATCTGGGTTCCACTCGACAACCTGGATTGGCGCGTGATGTTCCCCAATGGTCTTCTCAGTGTATGCCCAATCAATCTCCAATTCCTTCCACTTCATATTTGTTGAGTGATAGGTTGTTGGTTGGTCCGTTCTCAGAGTGGGTTCCTTGTTTCTTATCCGTACTATTCTGGCAATCCATCTGATCTTCAGTGTCAGTATCGAGCCAGCGTAGGTGGCACTTCTTCATGAATGTGTGTAGTTTGTTGGAAATGCTTTTGGTAACACACCGCCAACTCTCTCAACCATCACACAGAAACACTGGCTCACTTCACTGACATTCGTGTTGAAAATGCGAATGTTGTTGACACTTTCTGGTGAGTGGAGTGCAGAAGATCTCCACAGTGGTTTCAGGTTAATGAAGGAAGGCCTGTGTTGCTGTCTTTCGGATGCTGGCTGCTTTGACGTCGTCGTGTGTGCCGTCACCGCCGCCTGTAGTTTGAACGATGCTGCCTAGATGGTGGATGAAAGAGGCAACTTCTTTTAAGTTTCTCCTATTGATGGCAATTGGTGTTTGTTGTTAGTTGGGTATCTTCATCACATCTGTGTTCTCTACATTCACTTAAAGTCCCATATAACTCATAGGCTGTCTATTTATGATTATTTTCAAGTTGGAATAAAAAGCTGAACTTTTGTTTATTATCATTATCTCTGTAGTATGAACAGGTTTCTTTAAAAACAGTATATAAACCTGTACTATTGTAACACTTTGAGTGTAAATATTTGATAATAGTTATTAGTCGTTGATATGACCTCACTTTTTTCGGTTATTCCAATCCTTGTAGATAAATATGGTATGAAATTCCAGTTGCTTTCAAACTCTGTTGATCTTTTATTCGTTTCATATAAAATTTGGTGAATTCTCCTAACTCTTTATATAAGTTTCCTCAATTCTGTCATGACAGCTTTACAGGAAGTTGAAATGATTATTGTCATTATTATCTGATAGTTGTTGAGTACGTTTTTTGTTACTGGGTCGAATTGTTCGACCTGTTTAGGTAAAAGGGTCCTCTATATTACCTGAACCTTCAATATATTTTACTTTACTTGGTGGCTAACAATGAAATTCATAACGCTTTGGCGTTCGAAGCGATAGATACTGAGTTCGAGTCTCACTGAGAAAACCATCCCCCACTAAGGTGTAAATACATCCGGTTGATGAGTTCCAAACAGAACGAAACTTGCGTCCTGGATGTCTCTGCTAACCACCAAGTAAACTACATTTGTTGCGTGTATTTCTCACGGGAAAAGGACTTGAGGTTACAGATATACATTTTTGAGGAGTTTCAGCAAAAACACAGTCTTAGTTTATAGTTTATTATCCTTCATCTTCAACTATTCAACACCAAATTCTTGGCCATTTAATCCGTGAGTCAAACTTGTTTTAGTCCTCACTTATTTTCAATTTCCACCCTCATAGTTTTGGAATAAAACAGTATCTTAATGCAGACAAAACTCTTGAGTACTCCACTCTAATAGTGATTAATTATGTTACGGCTAACACATTATTAATCAAAAGTAAGTAACATATATATTGAGGAAGAAATGACAGCTTGTGGGCTGTCATGGAGCCAGGTTCAAAAGATTAAAGAGAACAGAGTGGAATGGAGACGTGCTACTGAATCCCTATGTTTCACTAGGAACCCAAGGGACAAATAAATAATAGTAAATGATATATATTACCTTCCAGTTAAACGGAGACAAGTACAGTCTAAACGTCATCTCTTCTCATTACACTCTTCATATCAAAAACTCTAAGTAATCAGCTGAAGCCTTGTAGCATGCAATATAAATGTATTTTCTGGAATGTTTATAAGAATCAGTGGCTGTTTGATATTTATTTGCTTTAGTTTGTTAACTATTATATGGAATGAAATAAAAATCTAGTCAGCACTCGGACATGGTAACTCAATTGGTACAGCATCAAGCCAGGAACCAAGTGGTGGCTGGTTCGAATCCCACCGCGGTCCAAATTTTCAGTTCACCTACAATTGTCATCCAGTACAAATACTAGTCTACCAAACCACAACTATCTGAGATAGTCAAAATGATATTATATGTTACGGATTGAGTACTTAACTTTTTCACTTACCTATCAAGTGACTTGTTGTGCTTGTTTTCAAGAAAAGGTACTTTCAACTGAAGTCAGTCTAAATTTGATTCATATTGTAATTAAAGTGAGCCTATTGGATTACTATATTTTCGGTGTAAATATTGGGCTGTAAGCGTCAACTCAGTTTATGCACTTTATGTAAGTTATTCATGCGATGACAAAAACATACGATTTATCTTACCACTACTAATTTAGTGTTCCTCTTTTGCTCTTTTCCAATGGTTTCATTCTATAGGTAGGGAAGGTGAAAAAGGTATTCCTGGAATACCTGGAAAACAAGGAAAACCAGGTTTTCCTGGCCTTGAAGGAGCTCCAGGTCAACCAGGCGACAAAGGTTTTATGGGACCAAAAGGACCTAGGGGTATTTCAGGTCCACCGGGTGAGCCTGGGAGGAAGGGAGTAAAAGGTCTCCTCGGTCCTAAAGGCCTTTCTGGGATTGTTGGTGACAGTGGTGAACGTGGCCCATCTGGCTTACCTGGTACATCAGCAGTTGGTGAAAAAGGAGAGGAAGGTACACGCGGTTTTCCTGGTCCAGTTGGCAGGAAAGGAATACCAGGAATAAAAGGTGAAAAAGGAGTTAGAGGAGCTGATGGACTTCCTGGATTAAATGGACCGAAAGGGGAGAGGGGAGATCAAGGACTTAAAGGTGAAACTGGAGAACCGGGTGAGATCTATCAAGGAGTTAAGGGACCAAAAGGAATAAAAGGCGAGGCCGGTCTGCCAGGAATTGATGGACCGAAAGGGGAACCTGGAGAAGACAGATTTCCAACAATTGCATTGAAAGGAGAACCTGGCCCACCAGGGCCCGGAGGACCCCAGGGACCCAAAGGATTACCCGGAAGTGCAGGTTTGCCTGGAAGGGTAGGCCCGATTGGACCAAGTGGAATACCTGGATCTCCTGGTGAAAAAGGTGACTTTGGTTTACCTGGTCAGTTTGGTCCAAAAGGTTTACCAGGAGAACCTGGCGATGATGGCCCCGAAGGACCACGAGGGGAAACTGGTGACGAGGGAATAAGAGGTCTTCCTGGGACACCAGGGCCCAAAGGACTACCAGGTCTGATGGGTCCTAAGGGACTCCCAGGAGAACCAGGAGCCGCTGGAGTAGGAATTAAAGGACAAAAAGGTTTACCAGGACTTAAAGGTAAGTAATTATTACTGTCAAATTAAAGAAAGAATATACTTTTGTCATAATTATTTTTTTTAGTAGAGCACCACTAGACCTAAATATTTAAGTGTTTACAAACGAACAAACTCTAAAGATGGCTGATGTACTTGAAAGCAGGAGATAACGTATAGTACAGAGATTATTCTCCTTGTGTTTAATGCTGTATTTATCTCTATAATATCATCACTAGGGGAACACTAAGCTTCGGTATAGTTATATTTTGACAAGTCTATACCATTAGATTACTGAGCCAAAATTACTATATACAGACAGGCTTGATTTCTAGTGGAAAGCCAAGTTATAACCATGATATCTGAGTGTTATAGTCATTGTATCAATGAATCCTTTGTAATATGACCGAAAAAAAATAATAAACCATTTGATGTGCTGGCCATCATGAATCGGTACCAGTACACAGAAATGATGTAAGTACAAAATGCCAAAAAATATCTTCTAATGTTTGAATAAATCCAAAGGCCTTATTTTGAATTCGGACTTATTTTATTAACCAAAGAGTGACTTTAATTAGTCAACTAGGTGGTTTATTCATTTTTCATTAGAGATTTTTCGTTCTTCTTAGCATGAGTTACTGATTTGAGTCATCTGATTGTGAATATTTACTGTCTTGTTATTACAGGTATAAAGGGTTTCCCAGGTGAGCCTGGAGATGATGGGACACCAGGGAACAAAGGTCTTCCAGGTTTAGCTGGTCGAGCAGAGAAAGGTGAAAAAGGTGAGAAGGGTATCAAGGGTGCCCAACCACCTCCAGGAGAAAAAGGGAGATCAGGCCAAATGGGTCCAATGGGAGAGACAGGTGAACCAGGTCCAGTAGGTCCTATTGGTGAGAAGGGAAATCGTGGAGTTCCCGGCCCAGCTGGACGTCCTGGAAGGACCGGTGCAGTTGGTGAGCCTGGTGTCTCTGGACCACGAGGGTTACCAGGACTACCTGGACCATTGGTAAGATGTGATTTTTGTCTAAACTAACGGTAAAGAAGCGGGTTGGTATAATATCACAGAAACCAGATGAAACGATATTCTTTTAAATACTTGAAACCCTTACACAACCCAGCTGAAAAATTCACTAATGTACAAAATGGAAGATAGTCCTACTACGCATGTGAATCGTGAATGACTGCGTGACTTACGGTATAAATGAAATCTACTATTCACAGTTGGTCAGATATATTCATAGGAAATGTACACAATAAGACAATTACATCTAATCTTTTCTATGCGATTTAAAAACCCCTTACCTGTTTGTTGTGCTTAAAAGTTATGACTGCTACTGGGCTAGAATCTCAGTAGAAGCACTATCACTCAGCAAGCTTCCGATATTTTCAGTTGAAGAACACTAAGTAGGGCGAAACGTGCATCATGAAGTCCACAGCTAGCCATCACTAATGTAATCTTACATGATATCCCAGATGATAGCAATATAAATGTTCACAGTATATAATATTTACCTGTATGAACTATTTTTTAATGTTCTCATCAGATTGTTGAGTAGATAGTGAACCAAATAGATATTATAAATGTTTTACATAGGGTAATAGATTTTTTCAAGTACTGGGTGATGAGAACTCCTGACTAGGCAGCCAGTGTGAGTATGATCAAGTGGTAGTAACGCGTCATTAATTCACATGGTCAACAATCGGATCTCGTAGCTGAGTTGGTAGAGTACCGTCCCAGAAACCTAGTAGTCGCCAGTTCGAATCCGGTCATGGTTCTATTCATATGGTCCTGTGAATGAATGAAAGTGTGCTTTTTGTAATAAACTGCTTTAAATTAGTCAAAACTAAGTAATGTTACACTAGTGATGTTTTAAAATCTTGATCTTGACTTATTAGTATGGTTGTAGGCAAAATTGTACGATACATTATTTTGCTGTTATGTTTATGTAGTACTGAAGGTTGAAATAAATTATTCATTCAGCAACTGCAAGGCCAAACACAAATATCTGGATATAAATAATAGAGTTTAGTATCTATCACTGAGTTTTGTGACTTGTTTATCTGTGAACAGCTTAGGCAGCAAGTAAAGGTATTTTCCAATGCAATAACGTTTGCAGGTTTTTGGAACAGATTTCATATAGGTAATTATGCATAGTTTTCTCATCACACAGTAGAAGATTTTGCTTTAAAATCTACAATAAGAAAGAATATCTACACTTGTTGTCAGATAAACGATATGAGCATATGAATACATACCAAAAAGTACTTGTGGTTAAAATGAATAATCATTATCACTATAAAATAGCAAATAACAGAAGTTGGAAATATAGCGCATTGGATTCTGACCCAGTGGCTCAATGGTAACGCACTGGCCGTGGAACCTGATAGGGTCATGGGTGCACACTGCTGAGGAGTATCATACTAGGACGGAACAATTGTCCAGTGCTCCCAGAGTTCTTTTGTTCCTCCAACTGATGTCAGTCGACGATGAATAACAACTTGGAATAAAGGAGTGACTGTTTTGTAGTTTGTGACGTGCAATAGACAAGTATTTTTAAAGACTGATTAGTTTCCACACCCCGTTAAGTATCCAACCTTACTTTTTCTATTTCAGGGTGATAAGGGTGAAAAAGGTTTACCCGGGACAACTATTAGAGTGGCTGATGTTGGTACAAAAGGTGAAAAAGGTCAACCTGGTGTAGCAGGTCCACCTGGACCTAAGGGCAGACAGGGACCAAAGGGAGATCAAGGAATTCAGGGTATACCAGGCAAAGATGGTTTACCCGGCCAATCTGGGCCAGGAGGACCTAAAGGTGAAAAAGGTGTACCTGGTCCAGAAGGACCTCGAGGAGTTGAAGGACAACCAGGTCCGAAAGGTCCAAAAGGATTTATCGGTCCAAAAGGATTTCCTGGATCAGTAGGTAAGTTTATGATAACTAATAAACTTTTTGGTAAATGGATTAAATTTTATATGAAAAATTAATGGCCTGGTACCTCTATGAAGGGCTGGACATTTTACTTCAAATGGACAGAGTATTTTTGTAGAAAGTAGAATCTCAGCGCTAAATGTGATCAAAAAGTCCACAGATATAAACTATCTGTAGACGTCTTCGTCTAATTTTGAAGTTTTTCTGAAGTTATCTACTTAAAAAGTGTTTTCTTAATTATTATCAATGTACATTTCAAAAACTTATCTTTTAATCCTGATAACTACAACCATAATTTCAGACATTTGCATTACTTTCGACAATTAGATCCTACAGTTTAATTTCATAAAACAAAGTTATATGTTGTTTATGCTGTGCCAAGCCAAAGGAAATAATTCTTTTCTTTACTTTTGGTTAAACTAGGTCCACCTGGTGAACGTGGTCCAACTGGAGATAGAGGTGAAACAGCAAGAGCTCCAACTGGACAGAAAGGAGAACGTGGTTTGATTGGACCGGCTGGACCAATCGGTAGAAAAGGTGAACCAGGAGAGGCTGGATTGAGAGGAGCCCCAGGTGATATAGGTGAACCAGGTCCAGATTTACTTGGAGCACCTGGAGAAAAAGGTAGCCCTGGACCTACAGGTCGACCAGGAGTTCCTGGTATGAGAGGACCCAAGGGAATTAAAGGCATATCTCCTCGTGAACCTGGTGAACCAGGCCCTAGAGGTCCAGATGGACCACCAGGTGTCAAAGGAGAACGTGGACCTAAAGGATTCGATGGATCGATTGGTCGGAAAGTAAGTCCATTGGAAATTGTTTTATCTGAATATTAAGTGGCAAAAGATTTGTAAGTTACTAACTTGTCGGCACATTCTAGAGAACCATTTGTAGTTCAATTTGACTTTCTTTTAAAACTACTGTGTCCATATGGAACTGAAGTATATATACGGTGTATGCATACTTATATAAAACTTATTGAAGGAAGTATGTTTTGTTCACCAAAATCTCTTTGAAATTATCATAGGAATTTTAAAAGAAATAACTTAGGTATTTTTTCTCATTATTTTAATATAGGGACTACCAGGTATAAAGGGTGAACAAGGAGTTAAAGGATTTCCTGGTCAATCTGGTAGACCTGGCAGTGTTGGTGAGAAAGGTGACAGAGGGCCTCCAGGAATTTCAGGTGAAAAAGGCAATAAAGGAATAAAAGGTGAAATGGGTCGTCCAGGATTACCAGGACAAAAGGGTGAAAGTGCAGTTGCTATGGTGGGACTGAAAGGAGAAAAAGGTATACGAGGAGATGACGGCTTGATGGGTCCAAAAGGTTTACCAGGAATTGAAGGAGCTCCTGGTTCTCCTGGTTCAAGAGGTGAGCCTGGTGATGCTGGGGAACCATCACCAAGAGGTCCAAAAGGCTACACAGGTCCCACTGGACTGAAAGGATTCATGGGCCCAGAAGGACCAAAGGGTGAAGTCGGTTCAGTCGGGGAACAAGGAGCACCTGGAGGCATTGGAGATACTCGTGGTAACACTGGACATTTATTCACTGTGTAAGTTCATATTTACTAACTGCTTGTATACTTTCAAAGAAGTAACTAGTCAGTTAACTGTAAAGATGAGTTGACATTAACTGAGGACTTCTGAATAACTACAGAAATAGCCAATTATCTGCTTTTAAACAAAACCAAATTATGACAGCGGCTAAGCATTCTGTCACCTCAATCTATTACCCTGTCTATGACATATCCCTTGAAATAAAAATTCAAGAAAGATTTAGCTTACTGGGTTTTATTTATTTAACTAGGAATGTCAGTTCAATATCCATCTAATTCACAGGAAGATCTCAGACCATTCATAGTTTGTTTACTCGAAGATCCTCGTTAATTAGGATTGAAAAGTTAAGACAATGCTTTCTGAACTGTAAACCACCTTAAGTAAGTCTTAACTCTAAAACCAAGTGAAAATTATCAAAGTTATTAAAAAATTTATTGTTTGTAATTATACATCAAACCATACCTTCATGAAAAGATCAGTCAATTAAAATAATATGGACAATTATCATCTTGATATTCAGCCCCGTAGGTTTGACCTTTATAAATAGTCATAAAGGATATGCTAAATTACTCTTTTTTGAAATTGATACCTAGAATTATTTCAGAAAGTCTTGACTGTAAAAGACTGAACTCTGAAAGCAATAAAACTGTAAAAAACCATCTTCATCCTTCATTTGATTCTATAACACTATACTGCTTGTCAAAGAAAGAAGGAGTTGTATTTAACATGCAATTTATTCAATCATAAAGAGTATTATATGAGATTATTCTTCTTGACCTAGTGAAATAAACCGTTCATATACATACCAGACAGGTCGGTTGGTTTACTTCCTTTCTTTTCAGTTCTATAGGGTTTAGCGAAATATTTAACCATTGATCCTGCTATGCTCAAGGTAGAAAAATATGCAAATGGACTGATGAAACCTACAATCTTTGTCATTATCTCCTAAGTTGAAAACAAGTTTCTGTCAATTTCGATCACAGCCATAATTTAGTGATGAAAAAGTAGGCAGCCTCAGAGAGTGAACAAATGCAGTAACAGCTGTTACATTTACATTTGACGTGTATAATTTTTTTTGGATCCTTGTTAACTTCCGGTTAATTTTAACAGTTTCGACTATCCGCTTGGATGCTGTCTTACATTGAATCATTTTAAGCGAACTCATGTATATATATGTTAAGCACTTGTTTTTCCTGTTATTTTATTACAGTCATAGTCAGACAACACGTATTCCATCTTGTCCATCATCAACACGTAAATTATGGGAAGGTTATTCATTTTTAAGTATGACAGGTTCAGAAAGAGCTCATGTGAATGATTTAGCCAGTCCTGGTTCATGCTTACAATTATTCAATCCAATTCCATTTATGTTTTGTGAAAAACAAGAAAATTGTTATTATGCTCAACGTAATGATCGAAGTTATTGGTTGAGTACAGAAGAAGAGCCAATGATGTGGAATCCAGTACAGGCGAATGAAACTCAAAGACACATTAGTCGATGTGTTGTCTGTGAATCACCCAGTAAGGTAAGTGGATTTTGGTGATGAGATTAGATTGAATACAATGTAAAATTATCATAAGGATAGCATTGTATGAGAAAGATTATAATTCTATGGATTGCTTCAACTTGTACAAATCAGCTTAAGGTCGACAGTCGGTGATTTGTGTCTATGTCCATTGTCTGCTTTGCAATTTATTGTTAGTTTTACATACAGTGTAGTGGGGATTGCTGATCAGAATGGATGTAAGTAGTATATGTTGAGAAGGCAGCAGAAAACATAGGGAATTACTATCAATGGATAAAAATTCCCCCCCAGAGAAAAGCAAAAGACAAAGTAGAGGTATTAAGAGAAATTCAAGATAGAAGCAGAAGATGAAATGAAGAAATTTTTTGCAAATGACCTGGCGATTGGAACAAGGGATACCTTGTCAAACTCCCAAGAAGGGCAACCTAAGTCTTTGTGGAATCACGCTCCTCTCCATCCATTGCAAGCAAAATATTAAGCCGCATCATCCTAGAGAGACTAAACGATGCACTGGATTCAAAACTACGACCGGAACAGGCTCACTGGCTTCAGGTAAAACAAATCATGTGCGGACCAAATTGCCACGCTACGCATCATCATCGAACAGAGTATAGAATGGCAGTCAGCTCAAATTCATCAGCTCTGAAAATGCCTTCGACAGCGTCAACCGAGAAGTAATTTGCCAGGCAGTTGCCTCAACACTACGGAATACCACAACCACTTAACAACATCATTCAACAACTACATGAAGACACCACATGCCAAGTAGCTCACAATGGTAAGCTCAGTGATACCTTTGAAGTGAGGACAAGAGACAGGAGTAAAACAAGGCTGTCTTCTATCACCCACAATCTTCCTAATTGTGGTCAACTGGACTGGATCATACAACAAACAGTGAGAATCGAGAAGACGGGGAAAAGCCATCTAGACCGGGGAAAAGATCCTAGAAGATTTGGATTTCGACGCCGATGACTTGTGCCTAATGTCTTGTCACACAAACTAGAAGGTCTACACGCGAAAACTAACAAGTTGACAGAAGAGGTGAGGCGACACCAAGAAGTCGGCATTTCAAGTAGTCGTAGAGAAGACAGAGGAAGTGATGATGATACTCTACCAACACCATCACCACCACCACCAATAACAACAACAACCTCCAATCACCATCAATGGGAGAAACTTAAAGGAAGTTACCTCTTTCACCCACCATCTAGGCAGCATTGTTTCAAATACAGGCAACGATGGCGGCACACACGACGACGTCAAAGCAGCCAGCATCGGAATCGGTAAAGCAACACAGGCCTTCCTTCATTAACCTGAAACCAGTGTGGAGATCTTCTGCACTCCACTCAACATAAAGTGTCAACAACATTCGCATTTTCAACACAAATGTCAGTGAACTCAGCAACTGCTTCTGTGTGATAGTTGAGAGACTTCGCGGTGCGTTACCAAAAGCATTTCCAACATATATACATACATACATACATACACAGTACTTCCACTGAATGTGAGAAATCCTATGGAGACAGTAGTGATGAAACATACAAGTATCGTCAGCTCCCGCAGATTAGGTTTTACACCCTCAGAACAAATCTGACTGTACTAACGCCTTGTATACATGATATTTCCCTGTTACATTAAATTGGCGATGGCACCAAAGATGACTTAGGTTAGTATGTTTCTCTGGTAGAAAAATACCCAGATCCTCGGACTTTTGAACTAATTCCAATGACTCACCATAAACGGAAAGTAAAGGCATAAGATTTTACCAATCGTTTGAAACTACTTCGCACTTTGATGGCGTAAAGTACATACCATACTTACATAAACTGTTTACCAAATGACTAACTGAAACCTTAGTTACCTGTATCCTACCACACAGTAAGATGATATCGCCCGTCTACTCAAAGTCAAAATGTTTTTTGCCTGGTTTCAGATTAACACCACCACCACGTATCTCTTTTTTTATAGCCATCTACAGAATATCGCTGATATCAAAACTATAGAGTATTTGTGAGACTGAACAACTTCATTGGACCTAATCACCGGTTTGAAACAATGGAAAGTAGTTGATTGCCTCAAATATACATACTGTTTTTTCATAAGGCATTTCAGATATTAATAAGCTTCTCACAGTTATCGTTCTGCTAGCGAATATCTCCATAGTGCCACAGTGTCATACAAACCAAAGGTGGTCCAACTATAAATAAATGCAACGACTGTCGGTCAGCAATGTGAGACAGTGTTCAGGCATTTAGCGTAGAATGAGCACGCGATCAGTGAGTCTCTAACCTCAAAAAGAAACTGGCATCCTTCTTACTAGTCAAATTTTGTGAAACATGATAGCAACCAATATTCTTGATGGAAAAGTCAGCAGACTGATTGATATACAAGTGATTTTTATATACACTGTGTAGGCTTTCTGAAAAGATTAATACTAAATGCCCATTTCAGAGCGACGAGAATTTCCCAATTTACCATTAGTATTAGAGTAATCTTATTAGTTCTTTGATTAGAGACAGCCTCACCTCTTTCCTTAGTAAAAGTTGAAGGTGAGTCTCGTAAACTGAGTAATTTCTGGCAATTTTATGACCGAAGTTCTTTGGATCGCGCATACCAGTTTGTGATATACAACACTTAACTAAAAATTCCCAAGGTTCTAACCAAACCTACTTGTTATCTAGGAGGTACAGATAGAAGTTTGGACATTAAAAGCAGAAGGGTTACAAGATACTCATGATTTCAGAATACTCATGTCAGATATCTCATTATTATAATTATTTTTCTCTTGGGTTCCTAATGGAATATACGGCCTCACTAGCATGTCTCCAGCGCACTCTCTTCTCTGCAAACTTTTGTATCTGGTTCCACGACAGCCCAGAAGCTCTCATTTCTTCCTCTTCCCATATAGTAACCTGGTTATTTGATACAATGTTGTTAGGTCTGTCCTACCTGCAGCCTATTCTGCTTCACTTGCCAATGTGTCGTAGAAGTGTCTTTTGTCTTTGCGTGCACTCTTCTTCACTTCTTTGTCCAGTGTAGTGTTTTATACATTGTACTCAGTTCTTCTTCTCGTCGTTCCTCCTTGCACTGGTTTATCTTCTGCTTCACCATCCTCCTCTCCCTCTACTTTCAGCTTCCATGTATCCATTGAGATCCATCCCTTATCTTCTTTCTTCTTCCTTCCTAATACGGTTATGCAGGTTTCTTTCCACATCACTTTCAAAGGGTTTCAGTGCTCATCCACACAGGTTTCTTCAGGGGTGTTGTTCGATATCCCCCATTTTGTCTAGATGGATGATGTGAAGATTTCCTTTGTAGTTTCATTCTTCAGTTTCCAAGTGTTGTACTTGAACTGCGGTCTTTCACCAGCTTCCTTGAAGGCTTTTAATTTGATTTGGAAGGTTCCTTGCACTAGATAGTGGTCTGAACCTACATTTGCTCCTCTTCTTGACTCTCTATCCAGTAGGCTGCGTCTCCATTCTCTTGAGATTGAGATAAAGTCGGTCTGATTTTTAGTGTGTCCATTTGATGAAGTGAAATCCATGTCGCTTTATGGACATCCTTGTGCTTCAACACACTGCCTGGTCTCCAATCACCAAATCGTTGAATGCACAGAATTCTGAAAACAATTCTCCATTCTCGTTCATTTCACCGAGCGCTTCTTGACCCATGGTTAGTTCTCTTCCTGTGTTGTCCCCTCCCAGTTTGGCACTCATATCACCCGCCCATTAGAATTTTGATGTCGCCAACTGAGGTCTTGTCTAGTGTTGATTGCAGTTGTCTGTAGAATTCCTCCTTCTTCTCTTCTCTTCATCTGCATTATTTGTAGGTGCATAGCATAGCACTGAATGATTGTGACTTTCCTTCCTTTTGAGTAGAACCCATCTTGCTGTTATGATCCTGGAGGAGATTGGTTCCCACTGCATGAGAGCCTTCGATGCTGTTGGGGACATCATGATAGCCACTACAAAACTCAGTGTGCTGTGCTTGTGGTTGTCGTCTGGGTGACAATATCGGAGTAGATTATTGATTCTCCAGTTGACAGTTTGGAAAGTCCACTTCCATTTCATCTACTTTCGCAAATTCCTAGTACTTCAGTGTGATGCCTTCTCATCTCGTTTGCAATCTGGGCTGCCTTGCTGGGTTCAAACATGATGCGGACATTCCATTTACCCATCCTTACTTTCGCTTTCATCGACAGAATACACATCGGCGCGGCCAACTGGCTTCCCGAAGGCTTTCACCAACCGGTGTCATTTCGTCTCTTCGATTCCTGCGAGGAGTAATTTTGTTTTTATGTTTTATATTTTATTTGTGCTTTGAAGTTTCTTTAGCGGTTAGATTTATTTACGGTGTAAGGTTGCTAGCCCTATGCCCAACCTTCCCTCTTTACCCAGGCTTAGGACGGGCTAGTAACTAGTGAACTAGTTAACCAGGCGAGGTTCAGATATCTCATTGGTACACACCAATATGAAGGCAACTACTCAGTGACTCGAAGTAAAGAAGGTAGATTAGAATTTCAAATAATATCAGGTAGTTGAGTGAAGTAAAGATGGTAAAAATGACAAGCAAACAATGCAGTTAGTGTGTAAAACTGACAATAATATAATAGTAAACTGCAGTAGCAGATGTGGATAGATGTGAGTAGGTTAGGAGAGAGTTTTAGACTCTTCATCGTTAAGTGTTTTTTCATAACTGGTATACAGACTGAGATACTACCTCAACGGTTAGATTGAAGATGATCATTTTAAAGAATCACTTATCAAGTTTTTCCGTTGAAGTCGAGACTTCATGAGCAGACATGCTATAGCTACCGAGGTGACAAAAATAGGTCCAGGCATTCAACATTCCTTCAGAATCTTGAGACCTAATAACGTTATCAGTTTGCAGTTAGATCCTCCAACCTCTGTAGATGGATCATCGGTATCCACCGATAAGTATAAGGTATTTATAGTTTCATTTTTGTAAAAATAACTCCACTACGTGAAAGTGTTAAATAAGGACATTTTTGGAATGGATCACATAAAGAGAACACCTCAATAAGAATAGCGGTCTCCATTCAGTTTTAGCTACATCAAGCCATTTAGTGAAGGGTAAATAAAATTTTCATTGATTGTTCACTGGAGGAGTAACCAAAGTCTATGTTGTCTAATTTTGAGTACTGACGGAATTCCGTAGATGATTTTTGCAATGTGAATGTCAGGTATCCAGGACCAGACAACGTGAAATTGGTAACTCTCTAGCGACCAGTCAATAAATTCAATCCCGCCTTACAGGAGATTAGTCGCAACTCCGATAGCTCAGTTGTAACGTCTCAAATCACAGTAATGCGTAAGGCGTGATCGAATCTCACATGGGACAAAACTCTTGTAGAGGGTACGAATACTCTCTCTTGAGGACGACCAACAAGCACGAGACCTTGGTTTATGGTTTCCCAACGACTGCTCTCAATCAAATAACGAATAAATATCTACCATTCTGTTAAAATACTACCAATATGTATGCGAATACTATGACTAATTCTTAGGAGTGAAATCATTGTTTATACAGCACACGCCAAGTAATTCACAATGGAAAGCTCAGTGATACCTTTGAAGTGAAGACAAGAGACAGGAGTAAAACAAGGCTGTCTTCTATCACCCACAATCTTCCTAATTGTAGTCAACTGGACTGGATCATTCAATAAACAGTGAGGAGCGAGAAGAGCGGAATACGCTGACTGGATCGATGAAAAGATCATAGAAGATCTGGACTTCGACGCCGATGGCTTGTGTCTAATGTCTTGTCACACAAACTAGAAGGTCTACACGCGAAAACTAACAACTTCACAGAAGAAGTGAGGCGACACCAAGAAGTCGGCATTTCAAGTAGTCGTAGAGAAGACAGAGGAATTGACGATGATACCCAAACAACGCCATCAACACCACCACCACCACCACCAACAACAACAACAACCTCCAATCACCATCAATGGGAGAAACTTAAAGGAAGTTGCCTCTTTCACCCACCACCTAGGCAACACTGTTTCAAATACAGGCAACGATGGTGGCACACACGACGACGTCAAAGCAGCCAGCATCCGAAAGACAGCAACACAGGCCTTCCTTCATTAACCTGAAACCAGTGTGGAGATCTTCTGCACTCCACTCACCAGAAAGCATCAACAACATTCGCATTTTCAACACGAATGTCAGTGAAGTGAGCCAGTGTTTCTGTGTGATGGTTGAGAGACTTGATGGCGCGTTACGAAAGGCATTTCGAACAAACTAAACACATTCATGAAGAAGTGCCACCTACGCTGGCTCGTTACTGACACTGAAGTTCAGATGGATTGTGAGAATAATAAGAATAAGCAAGGAGGAAGTCACTGTGACTGGCCTGATAACGAACCAACCAACAATCCATCACTCAACAAATATGTAGAAGAAGGAGGTAGAGATGGATGGGATTGGGCATACACTGAGAAGGCCGACTGGGGACATCACGCAGCAGGCGAGAGTGTCGAGTGGAACCCAGATGGGAAACGATGATTTGGGTGTTCCAACTGAGGGTTACATGGAGGAGATGGTGTGATGAAGAAATGAGAGGTTGTGGGTTGTCGTGGGACCAGGTTGAAAAGTTTTCAGGGAGCAGAGTGGAGTTGAGACGTGGTAGTGAAGCCGTATGTTCCACTAGGAACCCAAAGGACAAATAATAATGGTAATAATAATATAATGCTAATGACTGTCTTTGTACAAGGTGTACGGTATTTGATGACTACTGTAGAAGATGTCGCTAATAAACATTCCTTTCTTCGTTTCCATCTTGTCATTTTCTACAATATTACTCCAACCTAAAAGGCTTGAAAAAAACTCGCTGAGTAAACCCTGAAATAACAATATTTGATCCTCTGTTTAGAGCAGAGTATAACTTTATTTATTTCTTACGATAGTTTATCAAATGGTGTATACAGTGTAAAAATATAATATTTCTAGACTCTTGGATAGGATTTTGGACCGTTTTAACATTTTGCATTATTGTTACTAATTTTGACAGTCACCTAATATGTTACCGTTTGTTTCAGCTTTATGCATTTCATTCTCAAACTTTGGAAATTCCCAGATGTCCTGATGGATGGTCAACTCTATGGCCAGGAAGTAGTTTTCTAATGGTAAGTTGTATGAACAAGATATTTATTTAATGAATGGTTGAATAAAAATCCAGACTTGGCATAGTATTATCAACTTTAAAGTGCATATAAAGAAAACATTCAGAAAGGATAATCGAAAAAAAGATACTAAGAATAGGAGGAGAAATTTTGTTTGATAAATCCATCCAAAGTATTTGTTACACTGATCTTGCTTCTAGATACTAGAAAACGTAAGAGTGTCACATTGTGGTTGACGCCAGTTATGATTCCAACCCAATATCTAATAACGTCTTGGGTCGTCGTGTCATATTATAGTCGCGAACATTGCCTAGTAAGTTACGATATGCTAATAGCTACTAGTACAACATTGCCTTCAGTCATTCTACAACGCCACTCAAAACACTAATCACTTTTTCACTTCTTGTTACGAGTCCTATGCCTTACAGCCAGTAAATAATCAGAAAACTGCTAGGAAAGTCTACATATGACGTGTATTCATACCACTGAAGCTGACATGTCAGAATGACATCACTCAATGACAAATAGAATTAGTGTAAAACTTCTCACATAGGTGCATCGGCTGAATTTGCCACACTTCACAGTAGTATACAAAGAACAAGTGGATAGAAAAAGACTCATATCAAAGTAGAAAAAGTTTTGTAGGAGAACTAGCAGTCTGAAGATAACGGTTAATGCAAATAATCAAGCTTCATAAAATGCCAAGGAGTGAGTATACTTGTACCACTGTGACCGATATTCAGCTATGCCACCTAGTCTTCAACCACTGATTCCTTTCATTTCGGGAACTCCAACCAGCAGTCTACATCTCCTTACATGGCTCAAGCCAGAAGTCAGGGACTTCACCAACTGCTGCTAGGCCTAGTTTGACCACCCTAAACCCTCTTCTAACCTAACTCTACTTCTTCTAGTATGGCACGTTACGGTGGGTGGCGACTTGGTATGTGCAATACATGTTCAAGCCACGTCGGACTATGAAGGTTCTTAAAATTATCAATCGAATTGCCTGTTTTACATGGTACTCTTAGCCTGATTTCAACATTTCTCACATGATGATTCCATCAAACGCAGGAAGTGATAAAAAGACACCAATGATCAAAACTCTGTAACCTCTTCGTGTCTTCTACTTTCACTGGCCATGTCTCCCAACCATATAACAAGACGGAACGAACTGCAGCGTTGTATACTCATCCTTGATAGATAGTCAGATATCTCACTGGTTGGCACCACAGTCGACCAAAGTTGGCAAATGATAAACGGGTCTTCTGTATCCAAGGTGTGATTTCATCAAAAACCAGTCACCTCAAGCTGATATAACTTCCCAAGTAAGTGAAGTGGTCAACACATTCTATCACTTCACTTCCTGTCAACTAACTGGGAGTGTATCACAAGCGAAGCTGGACTTCAAAATTACATACATAGTACTTCCACTGAATGTGAGAAATCCTATGGAGACAGTAGTGATGAAACATACAAGTATCGTCAGCTCCCGCAGATTAGGTTTTACACCCTCAGAACAAATCTGACTGTACTAACGCCTTGTATACATGATATTTCCCTGTTACATTAAATTGGCGATGGCACCAAAGATGACTTAGGTTAGTGTGTTTCTCTGGTAGAAAAATACCCAGATCCTCGGACTTTTGAACTAATTCCAATGACTCACCATAAACGGAAAGTAAAGGCATAAGATTTTACCAATCGTTTGAAACTACTTCGCACTTTGATGGCGTAAAGTACATACCATACTTACATAAACTGTTTACCAAATGACTAACTGAAACCTTAGTTACCTGTATCCTACCACACAGTAAGATGATATCGCCCGTCTACTCAAAGTCAAAATGTTTTTTGCCTGGTTTCAGATTAACACCACCACCACGTATCTCTTTTTTTTATAGCCATCTACAGAATATTGCTGGTATCAAAACTATAGAGTATTTGTGAGACTGAACAACCTCATTGAACCTAATCACCGGTTTGAAACAATGGAAAGTAGTTGATTGCCTCAAATATACATACTGTTTTTTCATAAGGCATTTCAGATATTAATAAGCTTCTCACAGATATCGTTCTGCTAGCGAATATCTCCATAGTGCCACAGTGTCATACAAACCAAAGGTGGTCCAACTATAAATAAATGCAACGACTGTCGGTCAGCAATGTGAGACAGTGTTCAGGCATTTAGCGTAGAATGAGCATGTGATCAGTGAGTCTCTAACCTCAAAAAGAAACTGGCATCCTTCTTACTAGTCAAATTTTGTGAAACATGATAGCAACCAATATTCTTGATGGAAAAGTCAGCAGACTGATTGATATACAAGTGATTTTTATATACACTGTGTAGGCTTTCTGAAAAGATTAATACTAAATGCCCCATTTCAGAGCGACGAGAATTTCCCAATTTACCATTAGTATTAGAGTAATCTTATTAGTTCTTTGATTAGAGACAGCCTCACCTCTTTCCTTAGTAAAAGTTGAAGGTGAATCTCGTAAACTGAGTAATTTCTGGCAATTTTATGACCGAAGTTCTTTGGATCGCGCATACCAGTTTGTGATATACAACACTTAACTAAAAATTCCCAAGGTTCTAACCAAACCTACTTGTTATCTAGGAAGTACAGATAGAAGTTTGGACATTAAAAGCAGAAGGGTTACAAGATACTCATGATTCCAGAATACTCATGTCAGATATCTCATTATTATAATTATTTTTCTCTTGGGTTCCTAATGGAACATACGGCTTCACTACCACGTCTCCAGTGACCTCTGTTCTCTGCAAACTTTTGCACCTGGTTCCACGACAGCCCAGAAGCTCTCATTTCTTCCTCTTCCCATATAGTAACCTGGTTATTTGATACAATGTTGTTAGGTCTGTCCTACCTGCAGCCTATTCTGCTTCACTTGCCAATGTGTCGTAGAAGTGTCTTTTGTCTTTGCGTGCACTCTTCTTCACTTCTTTGTCCAGTGTAGTGTTTTATACATTGTACTCAGTTCTTCTTCTCGTCGTTCCTCCTTGCACTGGTTTATCTTCTGCTTCACCATCCTCCTCTCCCTCTACTTTCAGCTTCCATGTATCCATTGAGATCCATTCCTTATCTTCTTTCTTCTTCCTTCCTAATACGGTTATGCAGGTTTCTTTCCACATCACTTTCAAAGGGTTTCAGTGCTCATCCACAGGTTATCTGATATTTGAATAAGTTACAGCTGGTTAACGGTTTTTTAGTTGAATGGAGAAGCGATGAGTACTGGACTTGTAGTCTCAGTAGGGATAACATCACTCACTGGGGTGCAGATGGATCCGGCTGACGAGTCCCAAAAAGGACGAAGTGGGTACGCTGAATTCCACCGCTTGGCAATTAGAAGACAAATACATGTAAGCTAGTATGCAAATCAAGCATGCAGAATTCAGAGAATTACACCCAAGTATGAAGCTGGATATATCGTTTTGAAGCATCATGTCACTTAACTCAGTGGCAGTTTACAACATTCTACTACCTGTAAAATACGAATAACAATGGTGAGTACAGCATTTCATTCAAATTTTATTTTTAAAAGACTAACTGAAACAGCTTAAATGATAGAATATTTGAAAAGTTTACTCTCTATAACATATAGAAGTAGTATTCATCGTGGACTGACATCAGTTAGGGAACCATTGAAAATCTGGGAGCACTGGACAGCTGTTCCGTCCTAGTATGAGACTTCTCAGCAGTACGCACCCTTGATCTCACCGGGCAATAATCGAACTCAGGACCTTCATGTTTCACAGCGAACGCGTTAACCCTTCAGCTTCCAGATGGATATTAGGAAGCTCTTATGAGAAGCTATGACCTATAGGCTCAACCAGTCGGAAGTAAAGTGGATGCTAACTGAAGACCTTAGGTGATAGTCGCCGTGAAACCTGAAGGTCCTGAGTTCGATTCTTGCCCGTTGAGGTCGTGGGTCCGTTCTGCTGAGAAGTCGCATACTAGGACAAAACAGCTGTCCAGTGCTCTCAGATTCTCAATGGTTCCCTAAATGATATCAGTCTATGATGAATAGTTTGAATAAAATTAAATTAATTAATTTTATTTTAGAATACCGGTTATGGAGCTCAAGGTGGAGGACAACAGTTAGCATCACCTGGAAGTTGTATACCACAATTTCGTTCACATATGTTTATTGAATGTACTGCAAAAGGTTTATGTGGATTCTTTGAAGAGCATAAAAATTTTTGGTTACGTGTTATGCCTAGTTCAATGGATGAACATATGTTTGGTATGGTAATGGGTACTGTAATTAAAGTACGTAATAGTCAAGATTCAGTTAGTAAATGTGTTGTATGCATGAGAACTCAACCATTGTCAACATCATTTTATTTAAATTAAGTGTATTATCAAGTAAAAATATCAGAATTTGGTTTCTATTCAAATAATCACTATTTTCAAATGTATCTACTTTATTCTCTTTTTCTGTTAAAGGGTAAAACTGTGTTTTCTTTCTTCTCTTATTGTCATCATAAGTTAAACAGTTTTTTTTTAAATTTTAATTAAAGACACAAATCTGAATAGGCTTATATATTCTAGCTAAAATCTTCGAATAAATTTAAGATTATTGTTTAACATTTATCCTATATATATAAGAGGTTTCTTTTAATAGTTTACAAAATATTCTGTTGGGGATATTTTCTGCAAAAAAAACAATAATAATCGTAAAAATAGCACTTTTTTCAATTTTATATATGTTAATTTTCTTGTCATTGTTGTTTTACTGTAATAACTAACACAGTTCAATAGTCAATGCATACACGCTACACGTTAACCACCAATCAATCGGTAGTTGACATAGGAATGTTTACAAATGCATATTACATTTGTACTAGACTGCTTTTGAAAATCTATATTTAGGAGTTTATTGGATTCAATGAATATATATATATATATATATTCAAATTATTTACTTATTTATTTATTTATTAATTTATTTATCAAATAAAATCATATTCAAGTTTTAGTTGTAATAAGAGAATGAAAAATTTGATTATAAAACATTAAATATGCATTATGAAAGTTTCATTGACTGAGTGTCGGATGTATTCTTGTTCTTTTGCAATAATATTTCCATTTTCTGCTTTTATGTTGAAAAATGTATCTCGTTAATCTTTTCAATATGTTAACAAAAAAGTAATGATAATGATAATAATAATAATAAATGGAATATTTTAAGTTCAGTGACTTTTTTATAAACTTCGCTTGTAACTGTGAACGGGTAACCGAAAGATTATTAGGAGGGACTATAATTTCCGTTTTAAACATTGAAAATTATGGTATAGGAGTATTAATTATTATTACTTGTCCCTTGGGTTCCTAATTGAACATACGGCTTCACTACAACGTCTCAACTACACTCTGCTCCCTGAAAACTTTTCAACCTGGTTCCACGACAACCCACAACCTCTCATTTCTTCATCACACCATCTCCTCCATGTAACCCTCAGTTGGAACACCCAAATCATCGTTTCCCATCTGGGTTCCACTCGACACTCTCGCCTGCTGCGTGATGTCCCCAGTCGGCCTTCTCAGTGTATGCCCAATCCCATCCATCTCTACCTCCTTCTTCTACATATTTGTTGAGTGATAGATTGTTGGTTGGTTCGTTATCAGGCCAGTCACAGTGACTTCCTCCTTGCTTATTCTTATTATTCTCACAATCCATCTGAACTTCAGTGTCAGTAACGAGCCAGCGTAGGTGGCACTTCTTCATGAATGTGTGTAGTTTGTTCGAAATGCTTTTGGTAACGCATCACCAAGTCTCTCAACCATCACACACAAACACTGGCTCACTTCACTGACATTCGTGTTGAAAATGTGAATGTTGTTGATGCTTTCTGGTGAGTGGAGTGCAGAAGATCTCCACACTGGTTTCAGGTTAATGAAGGAAGGCCTGTGTTGCTTTTCCGATTCCGATGCTGGCTGCTTTGACGTCGTCGTGTGTGCCACCATCGTTGCCTGTATTTGAAACAGTGTTGCCTAGGTGGTGGGTGAAAGAGGTAACTTCCTTTAGGTTCTCCCATTGATGGTGACTGGAGGTTGTTGTTGTTGTTGTTGTTGGTGGTGGTGATGGGGTTGGTAGAGTATCATCATCACTTCCTCTGTCTTCTCTACGACCACTTGAAATTCCGACTTCTCTGTCTTGCCTCACCTCTTCTGTGAAGTTGCTAGTTTTCGCGTGCAGACCTTCTAGTTTGTGTGACAAGACATTAGACACAAGTCATTGGCGTCGAAGTCCAAATCTTCTTGGTTATTTTCCGCGGTCCAGCGGGATTAATAATTTGTGTATATTTTGGGCATTGTGGTATAATTTAATTCCATATTAGATTTGTTTATTTGACTTATAACATACAGTGATACAGTATTATTGACTTGATGATGACGTTTCGAGCATAAATTATTGATCATAATTCATATCAATGTAGTAGAATAACTTTCGACATCTGATTTTATAGTTCTGTCACCTCATATGATTTACTGTTATTAGTAGTAAGATTTTCAACATCTCTGGTGTAGGTATTGCGTCACTGTTCCTATTACATGTAGTTGGTATTGATTCGATGAACAAAGATTCAGTGATCAGTGATCTTATATTATTGAAATACATGGTCTTCAAACTTGGAGACTAATCAACAAACTCATACGACTTTCACGGACATAAGCCAAATTCATAAACTCATCGTATATTCAATATTCAATGCCCTAAAAATCAAATTACTCCAAAATATATACGTCTACGTACTTCAATTCCAACTGACAAAGTGAAAGCAGCATTACAACACATTAGGAAACTCTGTCTAAAAGAAGAAATTCATAGGATACTCAAGAAGTTACACGGCATCTGTAGCTATATTGAAGAACCTAAATATAAACTGAAAGAAACAGTTAATGAGAAAGATTATGAACTCCTGACCGATAACTTCAACAAGGCGGGATCAAAAGCCTCTAAAAATCTAAGAATACTCAAATAAGGAAGTTCAACAATCTAATGGAAGATAAGTATCCAATAGAGCATAATGAAATTCCTGACAACATATCGCCAACCAACAATAAAACAAAGTGGGTTATCACTTTCTCAACCAAGGTTTTAAGCTCAGCAGAAGTAAAGGTACTATAGAAGGGACTTAACTTCAATGTAACAATTAGTGAATTGAAACCTGAAGATGCCATTTCTAAGATTGAAATAGCACTAAGTTCAGTAGACAAGACGGCAGCAGATGAAGTTCGAGAACAATGTTCTCTTACACTTAGGCGACAGAAGAAAACAAAAAAAAATTTAGAAGTAGTATTCACCATGGACTGACATCAGTTAGGGAACCATTGAGAATCTGGGAGCACTGGACAGCTGTTTCGTCCTAGTATGCGACTTCTCAGCAGAACGGACCCACGACCTCAACGGGCAAGAATCGAACTCAGAACCTTCAGGTTTCACGGCGGACGCGTTAACCATCCAGCGACTGGGTCGGTTTCCAGTGGTTCACAATTTCCAACTTCTGTCAATTCATGATGATATAGCGCGACTGTTACCCAAGGTCTTCAGTTAGCATCCACTTCACTTTACAAAACAGCTATCCAGTGCTCCCAGATTTTCAATGGTTCCCCAACTGATGTCAGTCCATGATGAATACTACTTCTAAATTAAATATCCCCCATTCATCTCTAAAAACAAAATTTACCAAAAGCAGAAAAAGAGGCTTTGAAGAACTTTCGAAATGACAAGGATATAGTAATTGCTAAATCTCTCTCTTTCTCTCTTTCCACCTAACTATATTGGACTTCAGTCCATTGGCTTTATCCTATCCTATTGTATAGTTGTGTGTTAATGCATGCATTACAATAGCCGAGCTTTCTTCTAAATTATTATTCTTATTGGAGTCTATTATTCCATATTTATACTACGTAACGATAGAATGTGAAGAGGAAATTCGAACTACAGCCGGACTTGAACCAGTAACCATCGGGGTTCCGGATCGGTGCTCTACCAACTGAGCTGCGAGGTCCGACTGCTGACTAGATTTTTATTTCATTTCAATCACCATGGGTTTTGCTCGACTATCATATGAATTCGTGACGTGTTAATATCGCTTGTTTGTACCCACATAAGCTGCCCAATCAGGACATCTCATCTACATCTAAATCTACCGCGATAGTAACTCATCATGAAATTCATATGGTAGTCGGGTAAAACTCTCAGTGATTGAAGTGAAATAAAAACGTGGTAAACAGTTGAACCTTATAGCTCAGTTGGTAGTGTACAGGGTCGGAAACCCGGTGGTCGCTGGTTCAAATCTCGCTGTGGTCTAAATTTCCATCTTAGAGTCAAAAAGATTATTTGATATTTAGCCAAATTCCTATGTTCTGCTAATCCAATTGACCCCAACGAACTAGTTTGACCTATGTACTTGATTTCACAGTTATTACTTGAAATTTGAACTTACTCAGAGATAAACTTTGTCGGCTGGCTTAAGGATCCGATAGAACCAATTAAGCAAAAACATATGGTCTATCAAATTCCATGTAATGACTGCGAGGTCAAGTACATAGATCAAACTAGCCGGTTGGGGTCAGTTAGAATGGTGAAACATGGAAATTCAGCTAAATATAGAATGATAGACCCGAATAAAATCAATAATTGAGAAAAAACTCGGCTATTGAGGTGCATGCATTAACACAACCACACTGTAGGGTGGGTGAGATAAAACCACTGTACTGAAGTTCAGTATAATTAGGTAGGTGGGTAGAGAGAGAGACAGACTGATTACTGAGTCTTTGTTCATCGAACAATGACGCAACACCTCCATACCAGAGATATGGAAAACTTTACTACTTATAAGAAACAAATCACATGAGGTGACAGGAATATAAAAAGCAAATGTCGAAAGTATTGTGATTACACTGATATGATTATGATTAGTAATTCATGCTCGAAACGTCATCCAGTAGATAATACTCTATCACTATATCAAACAAACAAATCTAATGTGGTCTAAAGATCCCCATTAAGGCATAAAACAAAAGATGTATAGAGAAGAGTCACCTTTTTCAGAGATATTCTCAAGCTTTACAGTTGTATATAAATACTCTATTCACATAGTAACAGAAAAGGAATGTTTCATGAATTATTCTGAACAAAGTTCACATTTGACTATGAGTTAGATGAGAAAAATAGGAATTACGTAATATTTGAAATGAGTAATGAGAAGAAAACTTATCAAGACAGAATTAATATTTGGTTACTAAGTTAAATGATGTGGAGATAGATTGGGCATACACTGAGAAGACCATTCGGGGATATCACGCGCCAGACCAGGCACTCCAGTGGAACCCAGATGGGAAACTACGACTTGGGTGTCCCAACTGAGGGTGACATGGAGGAGATGGTATGAGGAAGAAATGAGAGCTTGTGGGCTGTCATGGAACCAGGTTCAAAAGTTTGCAGAGGAGAGAGTGGAATTGAGACGTGGTAGTGAAGCCGTATGTTCCATTAGGAACCCAACGGACAAATAATAATAAGTTGGATGATGTAACATAGTGAATGTGAAGAGAAACCAAAATTTTTACTAGTAGAGGAATGTAATGTGTAACAACTAAACAGTTTTAGTGTTCCGATAAATCGAAGTAACTTCTTGTACCACTATCTACTTGAACTTCATTTTTAGCTAAAATTTACATTAATGCTTGAAAATAAATAACTAAAGGGGTAACCCATTCCTGCCAATGTATCATAAATGCATTCTAATTCCTCCTGAAGCTACTTCCAAGACATTTAACTGGGCTTCTATCATACTAAACGGCTACAAACCGAAGGAAACGTATCCTCCTGTACACCTTCCGGCTCGATGACTCATCATCTCTTCTAATCGATAGGCTATCTAGAAAATGTAACCTCTTTTCAAGGTCTTGTTTACGAATAAAAGTGAATTCAATTAGGTTTGGGACGATTTATTGATTTCAGGTTGGTATTGATCATGGGCTGATATTAGTTAGAAGAAAACTAGAAACCTGGAAGCACTGGGTGGTTGTTTTGTCGTAGTGTGGGACTCCTAAGCGGTGCGTGTACATGACCCCACCCCACCAAGGATTGAACTCAGGACCTTCAGGTTCCACAGCCAAAACGTTAACATTGAGCCACTGGGTCGGAATCCAATGATTTGTATCTCTTACTTCTGTCAGTGCATG